CTTGTATCATTTTTTTTTTAAATAGAGGCACGTTTTATTTATTTATTTGTTTGTTTGTTTGTTTGTTTTGTTTATACATGCACTGGGTACAGTCAGAAGCGCGGGAGGGTGAGAGAATTCACCAGAGCCAGAGCGGGGAGCAGAGCAGGCAGAAGGACCTAAGGACACTGCTGAGGGGAGCAGCGGGTGGCAGGAGAGGTCTGCGTGCCATGTGGGACCCTCCTCCGGTGGCCGGGGAGCAGCCGGGGATCGAACCGGCGCCGCAGAGGCTGCGGGCAGCTTCGCAACCCAGCGCTCAACCGCTGCGCCACCGGGGAGGCCCTGACTTGTATCATTTTGTATTCTCATCAACAATGGATAAAAAGTTCCTGTTTCCCCCCACAGAGTGTTTTGTCAAACACAAAGTGTTTTGCCAAACTTTTGGATCTTTGCTGATGCAATAAATAAAAAATGATTTGTGGGCCTCCCCAGTGGCGCAGCGGTTGAGCGCTGGGCTGCGAAGCTGCCGGCAGCCTCTGCGGCGCCGGTTCGATCCCCGGCTGCTCCCCGGCCACCGGAGGAGGGTCCCACATGGCGCGCAGACCTCTCCTGCCGCCCGCTGCTCCCCTCAGCAGTGTACTTCGGTCCTTCTGCCTGCTCTGCTCCCCGCTCTGGCTCTGGTGAATTCTCTCACCCTCCCGCCCTTCTACCTGTACCCAGTGCATGTATAAATAAATAAATAAATAAATAAATAAATAAATAAATAAATAAATAAATAATGATTTGTCGGTATGGTTTCAGTTTTCATTTCTCTTATTATGTGTGAGGATGAACATTTACAGATGTGTTTAAGGCCTTATGCATTTTCTTTTTTTGTGATTTGTCTGTCATATTCCTTGCCCATTTTTTTAATTGAACTGTTGGTTTTTATTATCAATATGTGAGTGCTCTTTAAATAGTAGGGAGATTAGTCCTTTGTACATGATAAGAACTGCAAATATTTTTCTTAGTTTGTTGTCTATTGACTCTGCTTTGACATTCTTGTCACATGGAATTTTTTCATGTAGACAACTGTACTAATCATGTATTTTATAAATTCTGATTTTTGAGTTGGAGTTATGAAGGATTTTCCCCATATTTTCTTTTTTTTTTTAAAGATTTACTTATTTATGCATACAAGAACTGGGACACAGGCCGGAGGTGTGGGGTTTGTGAGAGGATTCACCAGAGACAGAGTGGGGAACAGAACAGGCAGATCTACTGAAATATATTGCTGAGGGGACCAGCAGGTGAGACAGGAGAGGTCTGCTGCGCCATGTGGCTATCTCCCTACCTGGGGATCGAACTCGTGCTGCACTAGCTGCGGATAGCTTCATAGGTTGCGTCTTAACCCCCTGCGCCAACAGGGAGGCCCATATTTTCTTTTAGCATTTTTGTGGAGTTTGTCCTGACAAATTGTGTGATCCATCACATCTAGAATGAAGTTCAAGGGCAATGTTATGACCTGGTGTCACCTACATGGAGAGGAAGCAGGAAGAACAGGAGTGACCTGGAGATTGTTAAAGGGAGCTGATATAATCTATTTGGGAGCATATTGAGTTTAAGATGCCTGAGGCACTTCCAGGAAGGGATGTCAGGAAGTAGATGGATTCAGGACTCTAAGCTCAGAAGAAAAGTTGGGTGGAGATGTGAAAGCCAGCATCAGGATCTTGGTGGGGGACTCTCAGATGGAGTGCAGGTGTGAAAAAGGTCAGGTCTATAATATAATCATGCAGGCTTTATCTCCATGGCCCTTGAAGCTTGGCACAAAAATAGCCTCAAAGGTGTTTTTAGGGTGAAGAGGGGCCCTTTATGTGAAACATATATGGAACCTTTGAATTCTGGGGACACAGAAAACAGGGAGAGGAAGACCACCAACCTACCTGTGGTTGTAGAGAGACTCTATGACAAAGGACAGGAGAAGGCTCAGTCTTGCTGGCAAAGTCTGTTCCCTCCCCGCACACCCAGTGATCCAAATGCAGGGCATCAACAGGGAGCACCAAGTCCCCAAATGTGGGTGGAACTTGGTGAGCCTCTCTTGGCTGGTGTTTTCCTTGGATCATGGTGTAGTGCTTGAGAGACATGACTCTTACCACACAACTCCACTGGGTTCCAATCCTGGGTCTCTCGTGTACTAGAGTGTGTGTGTCAAGCACTGTTGTAGGTGCTATAGATGAAGAAGTGAAAAATGCAGATGAAAATCCCTGTCCTCTTGGAGCTTACATTTTAGTTAGTGGAAAGGAGTAGTGAAGACAAACAATATGTAAGATAAGCAAAATATAAGGTAGCTCAGACTCGAGTGCAGACCTGAGAGATAGATAGAGCCTAAGACGGGGTGCGCAGTGGGGGATGGAAAGGCGTAGGGAGACATTGGTAAGCAGCAGTGTGTCATTGCTGGCAGAGAAACTAAGGTTGCTGACATCCTCACAGTGATGAGAATCATCATCTGTGTCATACAATAGCAGCAAATACTTTTTAAAAAAGATTTATTTATTTATGCATACAAGAGCTGGGGTATAGGTCAGAGGTATGGGGGGTGAGGGGATTCACCAGAGACAGTGGGGAGCAGAACAGGCAGATTGACTGAAATACACTCCTAAGGGGAGCAGCGGGTGAGACAGGAGAGATCTGTTGTGCCATGTGGGTTAGCTCTCTGGCCGGGGATTGAACTCATGGCTGCAGATAACTTGATAGTGCTGAGACTTAACCCCTTGCACCACCAGGGAGGACCCAGCAGCAAATACTTCTATTACACTTATTCTGTATAGGCCCTGTTCTATTAATTTTACATATATAATTTCACTTAACCCTTAGAGCAACTGATGAGATGGTATTATTTTTCTCACTTTTCAAATGAGGAAATGGAGGCACAGAGAGGTTTAGTAACCTGTCTTATAGAGTTAATAGATGAATGAGCTGGGGTTCCAACCCAGGTCATCCAGCTCCAGTGCTGGTAGGATGGCCCTGCAGGTGAAGGGGACAGGACAGTCTGCCAAGTCTCAGATCCAGGTAGTGCCTGATCATCACACAGTCAAAAGTAACACACACACACACACACACACACACACACCATCTACACTTCCAAGAACCAGTACACTTAATACACACTTCCAGGTTTCTCAGAAGACCTAAGAGGAGTCACAAGAAACTATGAAAGAGAGATAACAAGGCTCAGCTCTGAAAAGCTGCAGCCCCAGTGCAGTCTCCCTGATGACCCCTTCTCCCCATTTCCCTCCACACCATTTCACAAGACTGAGTCCAACCTCTAACAAGCCTAAGTAATTACCTCAAAGCCATTTTCTAACCTCATAATTATTGAACCTAAGCGCTCATAAAGATTATTTCTCACCCCCCAATTGTATAGATGGGCGATCAAGGCCCAGAAAGAAGTTACTTCCCAGAAGTCCATAGCAACTCAGGCACAAGAATCTAGATTTCCTTACTAGGGCATATTGAGGAAGGACTATTCCTTCCCTTAGCTGAAACTTCATGTAAGCTCTCTGGGGAAAAAAAAAAAAAAAAACCCTGGGATCCAGGAGACCTGATATTCACTGAGTGGCTGTGATGACACCTCCTATGACATGTAAATTTTACAAGCTCAGGAGATTGTCTGTTAGTGCTGATCTAACTGGGGCCCCAGAACAGTGTCTGGCACAGATATTGTTAATATCCATTGAATGAGGAATGTCTAGAAGGCCAGGGTTAGAGAAATGTTGGGGTGAGAGCCTGAAGCCAAAAGGGGACGACTTGAGAACCACGAGCTTTATATTCAGATACATGAATGGCTAACATTCTGCCCACAGACTTTTGTTGAGAGCACATTATGTGATAGGTAGTGAACGAAGGACTGGAAATTCTGGTGAGAGCAACACAGCCATGCCCTGATCTCAAGAGCTCACCGTCCACAACAACGTGGAGGTTGTGCAGATTTTTTTGTGGGCTCCAGAAAGCAGACCCAGGTGCAAGGTAGTGGGGGAGGTGTGAGTGGCAGACTGCTTGATATAACACAGCCACTTTTCTCAGCCTGAGCTGCCCTGAAATGGTCTTATGCTCAGAAGGTGACGAGTGCAGCGGGACTGCAGTGTTCAAGCTGGGCGCCAGCCGCCCACCTGTCAGAGGTTGCGCCAGGAGTATGCGGGAGAAGAGATTTCTGCCTCGGATGAGGTCACTTCCCACCCCCAGAATCTCTGCCTACAAAACCCTGCAATTCTGACGCTGGATCTTACTAAATTTTTTAAATTTCAAGGTCCCATGATGCTGACAGCCCCACATTCTAAGTGGTCAGTCTGCCCACGGCCCTGGACCTCCGTCCCCCGGCCCCCATAAAGCCGAATTCAAGAAGGGTCCTTCCACCCACTCAAAAGGTTTCTAGGGGCAGTCAGCGCCCCTCCCCGCCTCGGGGGAGGCACTGAGGGCAAAGCTCGGGCGCCGCGGACGTCGCGGGGAGCAGGGTGTTCCAGAGGCGAAATTGACAGTGCCGAGACACGTGACAGTTAAAGCGTCACGTTCTGTGGCCCGCGAGGCTGGCACCAGGCAGGTCACGTGACGCGGGGGGCACCATGGGGTGATATGAGATGCAGGGCCTTTCAGATTACGTAGGAATGACGCATTCCCACCCCTTTTGGCACCTAGATTTCCGTTGGAAGATGCGACAGTTCCTGGCGTGGGGGCGGGCCCCGGGTCCTGGCAGTCGCACTTCCGTTCGGGGCGGCACAGCTTCCGGCCTCCGCCCCGCCCCGGGGCGAGGAAGAGACGCCGCCCGGTGCGCATGCCCAGAGTCATCCCCGAGGGGGCGGGGCCGAGCTGCGGGATCGGGAGCGGGGAAAGAAAAGGGAATTCCAACCTGTGGAACGTTGGGGGTCCCCGAGGCCAGCTCCTGTCCATTGACTGTGGATGGTGCTGGGGGCTGAGCCTCTGAGGACCCGCGGGGGGCTTTGGGATCCGCAGTGTGAGGACGTAGGGGAGTGTCCGTGTGAGTGGGGTTCGGGAGTTGCAAACTTGGGATCCAGAGGCCCTCTGGGCTCAGGTGCCGGGAAGGAGCTGGAGCCGCCATGCGGGACAGGACCCGAGAGCTGAGACAGGTGAGGAGTCGGGGCAGCAGGGTGGGGGTGTGGCGGGCGTGGAGGACCCTGGTCTCGGGGCGGGCAGGGATGACTGAAGGCCAGGAAGGAAAGACCCGGAAGCCCGTGGGTCCTGCGGGGCGAGAGCGACGGCAGGGAAGTGATGCGAATGACCCCGGCCCTGGCAGGGGGATGACAGTTCGGACGATGAGGACGAGGAGCACGTCGCGCTGGTGGTCCAGCCGGGCACCGCGCGCCTGGGGAGCCCGGACGATGAGTTCTTCCAAAAGGTAGGTGGCTGGGGTCTCGGCCCGGACCCACGAGGGGACTGGTGGACCCGAGGAGCAGTGCAATCTGGAGTATTTCGATATCTCCTTCAGCCCTCTCGGTCACCTTCCCCAGGTCCGGACAATTCGGCAGACTATTGTCAAGCTGGAGAATAAAGTCCGGGAGCTGGAGAAGCAGCAGGTCACCATCCTGGCCACGCCCCTTCCCGAGGAGAGTGAGTGAAACCCCGGGTGCTGAACGCATGCTCAGCCAGGGGGATTGTGGGGACTGTAGTTCCACGCAGGTGGTGCCCAGGTTGGTTTGTGAAGGTAGGGGCTGACGTTTGCGAATTATGGTCTTCTCTTGTTCAGGCATGAAGCAGGACCTGCAGAATCTGCGTGAAGAGATCAAACAGCTGGGAAGGGAGATCCGCTCTCAACTGAAAGGTGAGCTCCTAGGACCTCAGACAGATCCTTCCCTCTGGTTCTGCCCAACTCCTGGGGATTGTGTGGCCCAGAGAGGGCAGTGATATATTAGGGCACACAGGAGGCTTAGATCTAGAATATCTTTTTCCAGTCCTGACTTCCTCAGCTTCCTTTATATATAGTGAAACCCTTTACTCCTGAGTTGCTGCCCAAATTGCATTCTTTGGGCAGGAAGAATGGGTTTTGTTAGGAGGCCTCTGCATCCCATGGGAATTCACTGATATATTTCAACTATGCCCTGTCGGACTCGGAATATGTCTTTTTTTAAAGATTTATTGTTATTTATTTATGCATACAAGAACTGGGGTGTAGGCCAGAGGTGTGGGGGCAGGGAGGGGTATGTGAGAGGATTCACCCAAGACAGAGTGGGGAGCAGAACAGGCAGATCTACTGAAATACACAGCTGAAGGGAGACTGGAGAGGTCTGCTGCACCATGTGGGTTGGCTCCCTGGCCAGGGATTAAACTCATGTTGCAGTGGCTGGCAATAGCTTGATAGTGCTGAGACTTAACCTCTTGCACCACCAGGGAGGCCCAGAATTTGTCTTTTTATTACATTTATTAGGAAAATCCTATCATGTGCCCTATTGTGTGACTGGGGCATGACTTGGACCCTATGTCATGGTGACCAAGTGATTTTTAGGAGCCACCAGTCAAAGTCCTTTGCCCACCAATACCTTTTTTTAAAAAATATTTTGTTTTATATAATTCTTACATCATTTTTCATTTCCCCACCAATACCTTTATGTCTTCCCACAGTCATAGAGCCGCAGAAGGAGGAAGCTGATGAGAATTATAACTCGATCAACACAAGAATGAGAAAAACCCAGGTGGGTTTGTTGTTCCAGGAATTAAGACGTTTCAGCAAGTATTTTATAGATTAGATGGGAGAGTAGGAGTAAAGGTCTTTGGAGATCATCAGTTCAACCGGATGATTTTTTCGGATGAGGAAACTGAGGCTCACAGAGCAAAAGGTCAAAAAGCCAGATCTTCTGACTCCCCATCCATTATAACACCCTGCCTTCTCCTCTATTCAGTAAGAAGTTTGCTGAGTCCCCAGATAAGACCTGGGCTCAACTGTGAGACACAGTCTTTGCAGGAGGCAAGATGGGGAGTTGGAGTTGAATAGATGACAAAGACATTACACAGGTAGAAGACAGTGGCTAATGGCTCTGCCCAGGGAAGAAGAGGGAGAAGTCAAACGACTGGGAGGTTTCCTGCCCACATAAAAATATGTGGTGCTTCATAGGCAGAATTCAAGAAATCAAGAAAAGGAACTTCCCTTGGTGGGGGTGGCAGGAAGCATGCTGAATTAACCTTAGTAAGGAGATTTGAGATGATTTAACCCACCCCTTCTGGGTGCCCAGGGAGGAGTGGATTGGAGTTTTTGGAAGTGAGAGATGGAATAGGTGAGTCCAGAGCTCAGCAATGACCCCAGATTGAAGATGGAAAAGTTTGGGCATCTTAAAAGGGTACGGCTGAAGCCATGAGAGCTGGAATTCCCAGGAAGGAGCACGTGTAAGTCATCAGGGGAAGGAAAGGCAAGAGTGGATTTTAGGGAAGCCTGTGGTGGTCATGGGTAGGGGAGGCTGAGGGCCCACCTGGACCTGTGTCATCTCAGCAACAGACTGCCTCCAGCCACACTATGCTCCTCTTCTTTAAGCAGTTAGGCTAGTATTCAGCAAGTACTGCACAAATATTTGAGTACCTGCTGTGTGCCAGTCCCTTTCCTAGCTGCTTGGGATACAGCAGTGAACCAAAAATCCCTATTTTCATGGGCCTTCACATTACAGTGGGAGAGACAATCATAATAAATAAATCATATATTTTAGAATCATAACAAATATTAAGAGAGGGCCGGGAGAAGTTAGAATGCTATTTCAGTAAGTAGAGAAATGTTCCCTTAGAAGGTGACATGAGAACAAAGTCCTAAAGGCCTTTGTGAAGGATAAGCATTCTAGACCAAAGGAACAGCGAGGACAAAGGCCTGGGGTGGGGGTGTGCTCTGTTCTGGAAGGAGTAAGGAGCTGCAGTGGCTGGAAGAAGGGAGTGAGGGATCCATAGGTGGAGGTGAGAGCGGAGGGGAGGTGGGAGGAGGCCTGACAGGTCCTGGTAAGGGTTTTGGCTTTGACTTTGAGAGAATGGGGAGCCCTTCAATGTGGTTAAGGCAGCCGGCACCTTAACAGCATGTGCTGTTTGCTCGCTGTACCAGGGGGATGCTGAGGCCCAGACCAGACAGGGATCCTCCCGGGTGTGCCCAGCCTATATTCTCCATCCTTAGCATGGGATCCTGTCCCAGCAATTCGTGGAGCTCATCAATAAGTGCAACTCCATGCAGTCCGAGTACCGAGAGAAGAACGTGGAGCGGATTCGGAGGCAGCTGAAGATCAGTGAGTTGTGATGCCCGTCCCACAGGGTTAGGGGACTTGACCCAGCTCTGAGCAGGACTTTTCCTTCACAGCAAATGCCGGAATGGTGTCCGACGAGGAGCTGGAGCAGATGCTGGACAGTGGGCAGAGTGAGGTGTTTGTGTCCAATGTGAGTGTCTGCCGCTGGCTTCCCTGTCCTGGGCCGCCCATCCTTGCTAAGCCCTGGCTCTATTTTCTTGAGGGAGGGAATCCTCAATCTCAGAAGGGAACACATAGCATGCCTGAAGTCACTCCTTAGGCCTTCAGCCTCAGTTCTAGGCCCAACAGCTGCCCTAAAGCTCAACAGGAACTTTGGACCTGTTGCTGGTTTCCCTGTGACCTGCCCCTCCTTTCTTGTCTGCTCCCCAGATATTGAAGGACACTCAGGTGACTCGACAGGCGCTAAATGAGATCTCGGCCCGGCATAGTGAGATCCAGCAGCTTGAACGCAGTATCCGTGAACTTCATGAGATTTTCACTTTTCTGGCTACTGAGGTGGAGATGCAGGTGGGTCCCAGATGTGTGAGGCCATGTTTAGTCAGAACCCAGCTGTGACTGTCAACCTCCAGATACTTAGCTTCTCTCCAAGGCTTTTGTTTCTTTCCAGGCTTGGCCATGCCCCCAGGATGGTCCAGACCTCTACCCTTAGCTGTGCCCCAGAATTGCATCTACCTTTGTAGCCACTCAGCCACTCCTCTCTACTTAGCACCCCACCCTTGCACCCAACTTAGCCCACCCCAGGTATGGCCCCATCCCTGGCTCTTCTACCACCCATAGGATCCACTTCTCAGAGCTCCAGTCAAAGTTGCCCTCTAGAGGGCCTGCCTCTGAAAATCTGTATAAGGTTGAGGAGGGAGGTGGTATTCTTCCTCTGGCTCTGGTTTATGGGGTGAGGTGAACCTCCTAGTGTATTACCAGTGCCCTTTTACAGCAGCAGGTCATGGGGAAGGGGTTTCATTCAGCAGGAATACCAGGTCTGGTGGCGCCAGGGGGAGATAGGATTAGCAAGGGCTTCACAGCGGCCAGGAGATAGGCCTAGAAGAACAGGCAAATTCAGATGGATTTGTGAGGGGAAAGTTCACCCTCATGAAAAGTTATGAGCAATTTAAGGTGCTTGGCTCTTGGCTCCAAGCCACCATTACACATAGAGGTTGTGTGGGGCAAGGAGGCAGGCAGACGGGACTACCCAATCAGAGGAAGCCTGGCAGCCACCTGAGGATGTGAACTTGTGTCAGGCGTGGTCCTGCTCCGTGTCTTTGTTAGCACCGTTGTGTTGCCAGCAATGTCCTCTAGTCATTTGGGGTTGGTGGGGGGAGACAGAGGAGCTCTTGGGCCCTCCTCCCCTAGTCAGCCCCACCCACCTGCACGCCCCTTCTCCGAGCAGGAGGAGACGATCAACCGGATTGAGAAGAACATCTTGAGCTCAGCTGACTATGTGGAACGTGGGCAGGAACATGTCAAGCTGGCCCTGGAGAACCAGAAGAAAGCTCGGAAAGTGAGCCTCCCCTCCTGCCCTGGCCCCCAGTGACCCTTCTTCCTTGCCTGAACTTCCCTGACACGCCCCTCCTCTCCTGCAGAAGAAACTTATGATTGCCATTTGTCTGTCCATCACTGCCCTCATCCTGGTGATCATCATTTCTATCTCATTGATATGATACCTTCGCACATTCTCGGTGAGATGTTGTGGTCCTGCCCCTACCCTGCCCTCCCGGCCCGGGCCTGTCCTCCTCCTCTCAGATCCTCTTCTTCCTCCTTCCCTTGTAGGCACTAAGACCATCTGGGACCCAGTATCTGCCTTCTCTCCCAGGAGCTGGGGAGGGCAGAACAGAGCCTCCAGCCGGACCCCCACATTCACCCCGTGCACAGGGGCAGACGGTTCTCTGGGGTTGGCAGCCATTCATTCATGGGGGTCTTCTTGCTTGGGCCACAGTGCCTGGGGGAGGGCCTGCAGTGTCCTGTTTGGCTGGGACACACAGTTTTGTAAGAAATTTAAACAAAAAAAGAGCTTGGAAACTCCCTTGTGTGTGTGTATTTCTGGAAGGGCCAGCCCAGGGCCTCTAGGTGTCCAGCCTTCCCTCCTCTTGACCATCCTTGGTACCAGGCCCAGCCCAGGCAGGTGCAGAGGAGACTGTCCTAGTGCAAAGCCCATAGCCAACTGGCATGGCTCTTCTGTTCTCCCACAGGAATGGGGTGCTGGGGGGGGAGGTCTCACCCACATCTGGCTGGGTACTTACTGTCCTGGGGAAAGACTGCTGTGCATGACCTGAAGAAGTGAAGCTGGCCAGGCCAGACTGGGATACAGGTGAGAGGTGTGTGTGTGACATCAGTGGGCATTCCTAACTTGAGAGAAAGAGGTATTAGGGAAAAGTAATTGAGTAATTGAGGCTGTTATTTTTGGATACAACGTGCAGAAAGGGCCTGTCTGGCTGAGAGGAGTAGAAAGAGGGAGACATGTTTGAGTTAACTGTTAAGTGAGAGGAGCCAATTCTGGGGAAGAAGCAGGGCAAAGGGTTGCCAGGCAGAGGAAACAGCAGGCCTGGGCCAGGGCCTAGGAAAGGGCTTTGTCTTTGACATAAGAGGTCAGCTGGAGAGCCAGGGGCTCAGATGAGCATCACTGCTTCTTAAGTGGCTGAGGGGCAAGTAGAGGCAGAGAAGCTTGCCCCCTGGTTTTTATGAGGCACCCCTAGAATCTAAATTTCTAGGGGTTCCTAGTAGGGATACCTCGTTTCTGGGGTGGATGTGGTACCTGTCCCCAGATACCTGGTTTCAGGGGTAAGCTGGCTTCTGGCTCCCACCCTGGATGGAGTGATGGTGCCTGACCCAGACCTAGGCCTGGGAACTGGGTTTCTGCAACCTGGCCCCATCCCAGTTTTGGTCCCACAGGGACCTGCTGCTGTCACAATATCGCTTTCTGCACAGCCTGGGTGCTGGGTTAATGCCAGTCTACGAAAGATGGATGTAATATTTAGTGCAGTCTCGGATCCTGCCTCTGAACCTGGACTCAGGGGCTGCGGGAGGTCCAGAGGGGGGCATTGGGCTTCTATGATCCGCGACCCTCGTCTGCTCTGCTGCCATCCTTTTTAGCTGGGCGCCTGGCTGCAGCGCCTCTCGGCGGCCCTGGCCTGGCAGTTTCACTGCGCCTGCGCAGGGTTCCCGTGCGCGCCGGGTCGGGAGCGGCGGGCGTGGCGGAGACGGTGGCCTGGTCGCAACCAGAAAACGATTGGCCCTGGGATTTAATGGCTGTTCCTGGGGAGGGTGGCGATTGGTCTGTGGGAGTGAGTGCCCTGGTTTAACAACTAGGCAGAGGACGCTGATATGGGTGGGGCCTCAGCAAGTCGCACTCAAAAGTGGTTGGATCACAGAGCCAAGGGGTTGATCAAACAAACCTCCAGAAGCAGCGGAAGGCGCTAGCGTGTGGCTGACTGCGGGGAGCAGTGATTCAGGGATTTCGCAAACTCCCCAGTCGCTGAACTCGCAGCAGCAGAAGTCTGGGAGGGTACCCACCCCTGAGATCAGGTGTCCTGTTTACAGATGAAGCTCTAGAAACCTGAAGGAAAGAGCTCCTCATTCTCAGCTGTGTGCAACGCACTTTGGGTGTCCATCTGATGGAGAAGAACGGGGAGTCGTGGGGCTAGGCCGATCCTGCCCCTGTAGAAGCCTGATTTGGACACAGGGCCTCTGAGCTCCCCTGATCCTCCATTTCTTCCCTTGCTGCCAGCACCTTCGGCTTGTTGGTCTCCTTTGTCTATTCCCTGAGCTTGGCCACACTGGACAGCCCCACCCCTGAAGGCTGCTTGCCTGTCTGACCCAGGAAGCTGTCTAGAACATCGTGGAAGAAGTGGCTTGATAGCCAAGTGAGATCTGGAATGCTGGGTTGACTGAACTTTTCCAGTGGCTTCAGGGGCCCACAGGAGGTCTTAAGCAGGTGAGCGGCCAGTTTGGAGCTGACCTAGGACAGGGGATCCTTGCACTGGAGATTTCATAGGTCCCTTATGCAAACCCCTTCCTTGTGAGAAACCAGCTTCAGTGAGGAGCTAAGGGATGGTTTTGTACTGAAATTCTGACCTGGTAGCTGTCATCCTGCAGGTACCAGGATCTTGGTTAGTTGTGACTTTTCTAACTCCGTCTTGCATCACAACATTTCTGCTGCAGCTCTTTTCACTTACTGCCTCACTCAGTAGTTCACGGTTAAATTCCCAAGAAAAGGAATCTGACTGGTCTAATCTACTCTCTGAGTCAGGCTATATTGATTTACCTATGAATTGTCCCCCTTAAGTCAAGACTTTACCCTTGACATACCCAAGGTGTATGTGAGGTGTTACATGGCACAGAATGCTGAGGCAGACTATGTGTGTGAAGGAGGAGTAACTGAACTCAGTGATTGACATTCCTGGTTCAGTCCTGTGGTAGATTTATTATTGTCCCAAATACATATAGTCCTTCCTCCTGGGCCCTCATTTTAGGAGGGTCATACATTCCTGCCCCTATAATAGGCTTGCCATCTGACTTACTTTCGCCAAAGGAATGTGAGTATACATGTAAAATACTAGCTAAAATATATAAAACATGTAAAAAAAATATGTAAAATACAAGCTTCTAAATAGAAGCTTTGAGGGCCTTCCCGGTGGTACAGCAGTTGAGCGCTGGGCTGCGAAGCTGCCTGCAGCCTCTGCAACGCCGGTTCAATCCCTGGCCCCCGGCGAGGATCCCACATGCACAGACCTCTTATGCCGCACCTACTGCTCCCCTCAGCAGGGTACTTTGTCAGTCTGCCTGTTCTGCTGCCCGCTCTGGCTCTGGTGAATTCTCTTACCCTCACATGCTTCTGACTGTACCCAGTGCTTGTACAAATAAATAAATCAATCTTAAAAAAAGAATAGAAGCTTGAAGTACCAATGGCAACTTCCCTTCTCTTTTTTTCTCTCTCCAATGAACCTAGCAATTTCCATCATGACTTCTTCATCCTGGATCCCAGAATTAAGATGGCGTGGAATTGAGCTCTAGCCCAGCTCTAAAATGATGTGTAAGAAAAACTTCTCTTGCTATGAGCCACTGATTTTGATGATCCACATTTTCAACCAGTGAACAATATAACTGACAAGGTTCTTAAGTCATATAGATTGATTAAAACTCATCTTGTGGCAAGGGCCATTCAAACATGTGATTCTTACCCCTTTTGTAAAAACTTGTGAACTAGGGCCCCCCTGGTGGCACAAGGGGTTAAGTCTCAGCACTATGAAGCTACCACCAGCCACTGCAGCACAAATTCTATCCCCAGCCAGGGAGCTGACCCACATGGCACAGTAGACCTCTACTGTCTCACCCGCTGCTCCCCTTAGCAGTATATTTCAGTAGATTCACCTGTTCTGCTCCCCACTCTGTCTCTGGTGAATCCTTTTACCTCCTTCCACCTCTGGCCTACACCCCAGCTCTTGTATACATAAATAAAATAAATCTAAAAAAAAAACAAACCAACTTGTGAACTGACCAATGTAATACCTAATAAAACCTTTCAATTAGTCAAGATGATTCAGAGAAAAAAGATTAAGAGTGTAACTCTTCCAAAGGAGTTAGCAAACTCCACTTACTTACAATGAAGTCTAAAGAGATAGGCATATCTGAAAGTAATTGTGGATTTGACTTTTAGCCCATGGAACTGACTGGAATAGAACATTGATAAAAGATCTCTCACAACTCCCCCAGGAAAGCTATTAGCTTGGATTTTTATAAAGTCCATGAATGTTTAGGACTTAATATGACTTTGAGGACTCCCAAATTTGTGTGGAGAATGGAGACTGAGAAAGCTGTTTTACATCTGAAAGGCATAATCTCCAAAGTCTTCTTTAATAAGTGGAAAAGGATGGGCCACTTTAAGAGCCCCCTTCATTTGGTACATGGAGAATGTTCTAGAAAGCAGTCCTATTTCCTGGAAGAAATGAGAGAGGGGCTTTCTCAATATCCACCCAGCAGGACTTTAGAATTACTATGGACCAGTAACTTCTGTGTGTCTTTCATCCTTCTTTCTGGGAGTCTTTACTGCTATTACCTTGTCCTTGTTCTACTTTTTATGTTGAATGTGGGGGGTGAGGGAAAAGCAGAGATAACTTGGGTTTATTTTTTTTTTGGTTCATAGGTCTCTGGATCAAGAGAAGCCACATCTGGGTTTGACATAGAGACTATCAGAGATCCTGGACTTGCGCCTGATGCCATGATCAGGTCTCCTTTGAGTAGGGGATGTACTTATTTTGCATGTGGAAGGTACATAAAGGTCATGTTTGTGACAAAGAGGACAGATGGGAAGGAATTTACAACTGTTCTAAGCCTTAATTGACTCCCCCTAATGGGCCCCACCATACAAAAACATTGTGTTCCCACACCACTGACATCAGCTCTGGGCATGTTGTTTGCTTTAGTGATAGAAATTGAGTAGGAGTAACAGGTACCACTTGAAAGAAATACCTTCGGGGCCTGCCAACTTTCCTGTTTCTGTCTTGAGATCGAGTTCCAGATTAGGCTTGTTCTTTCAGACTGTATTCTGGCACAAAGGTAATATAGGACATGTCACATGGAAAACAGAATATACAGAAAAACATTTCTTGTGATAAGCCACTGAGATTTGGGGGTGTCTGCTTCTGCAGCATAACCTGGTCCTAGCTGACTGATAAAAGTTTCCTCCGTATTGCAAAGGCTCTCTATCCATTTTCCTTCCCTAATACCATGACTATTTGGCATGCCAAAATGAGCTGTGAAGTCTGAACCTTTACCCCTGTTTAGTGTTATTTAATCTTTCAGTTTCTATCCAGTGAATTTTCTTTTCTTTTTTTTTAAGATTTATTTATTTATGCATACAAGAACTGGGGTACAGGCCAGAGGTATGGGGAGGTGAGAGGATTCACCAGAGACAGAGTGGGGAACAGAAAAAGCAGATTAACTGAAATTTACTGCTGAGGGGAGCAGCTGGCGAGACAGAAGTCTGCTGTGCCATGTGGGTAGCTCCCTGGCCGGGGATCGAACTCGTGCTGCAGTGGCTGTGGATAGCTTCATAACTTGCGTCTTAACCCCTTGTGCCACCAGGGGGGCCCTATCCAGTGAATTTTCTTGATTCTTGCCAGTTCCTAGAAACTAATGTTAGCTGTTCATACTAAATAGAAAAATAGGGGTTCTCCTGGTGGTGCAGGTGGTTGAGCGCTGCGCTGCAAAGCTGTCTGCAGCCTCTGCAGCACTGGTTCGATCCCCGCCAGTTGGTTGGCGAGGGTCCCACATGGCCCAGCAGACCTCTCCTGTCTCACCCAATGCTCCCCTCAGCAGTGTTTTCGTTAGTCTGCCTGTTCTGTTCCCCGCTCTGTCTCTGGTGAATCCTCTCACCCTCCCACGCATCTGGCCTGTACCCCAATTCTTGTATAAATAAATAAATCTTTAAAAAAAAATAGAAAAATATCCAGAGGAGTTGGGCCCTAGACATCTTAGCATCACCTTGGTGCCTAGTACATGTCACTATCATATACAGTGGCATTCTTGTGAAGGAACATCCAAAAGGAGAAAAGAGAGAGAAAGCAAAGTCCAAACTTGCCTTAACTGTGTGGATGTCCACTCTTCTAAGCAGGCCCAACATAACAGATAGTAAGTGGAAATTCTATATTGGTACAACTGTGTGAAATGGAGACGCAACTAACAAACAAAATGGCTGAAACAAAATAGAAATTTACTTCTCTCTTAGTATGGCGGGTCTTCACATGAAGCTATCAAGACTGACCCAGGAATAATTTTATTATTTATATTTTTGGATAGAAGAACTGGGGTATAGGCCAGAGGTGTGGGGGGTGAGAAGATTCACCAGAGACAGAGTGGGGAGCAGCACAGGCAGATCTACTGAAATACACTGCTGAGGGGAACAGTGGGTGAGGCAGAAAAGGTCTGCTGTGCCACGTGGGTTAGCTCAGCTAGGGGTTGAACTTGTGCTACAGTGTCTGCAGTGTCTCACAGTGCTGAGACTTAACTCCTTGCACCACCAGGGAGGCCTACATTTAACTTTTTGAGAAACATGATTAAATCACCTTTCTAAGAGGTCTTATTAATTTATGCTAAACATGGGACTTCACTTCTGGTCTTTGAAAAATTACAAAGTTGTGTAGCCTTTCAGTGTAGGGCTCTAATTATAAAATTAGTCATTATCCTATCCTTTCTCTACCAATTTGAATAATCATATTTTTCATAAACCAAATTTCCAGAAAGTCAGGGCTGTTTTTGAACCCTCTCCCACGTCCCATTGATTCATTTTCTTTTTTCTTTTTTTTCCCAAGATTCATTTATTTATGCATACAAGACCAGGGGCATAGGCCAGAGGTGCAGAGGGGAGGATTCACCAGAGAGAGTGGGGAGCAGAACAGGCAGATCCACTGAAATACACTGCTAAGGGGAGCAGCAGGCAAGACAGGAGAGGTCTGCTGTGCCATATGGGTAGCTCCCTAGCCGGCCAGGGATTGAACTCATGCTGCAGAGGCTGCAGATAGCTTCACAGTGCTGTGCTTAACCCCTGTGCCACCAGGGAGGCCGATTAATTTATTCCTGTGCCAGTAACATACTATTTTTACTCCAGTACTTGGGTGTTTATCTGCAAATGTCACCTCCACTGTTTTTTAAAAATGTATTGCATATGAACTTTGGATTTTCAAGTTCTGTTTACAAATCCTCTTGGATGGCTATGAATTTAAGAGTTAAATTGGAGAGAATCAACATCTTTTAATGTCCTTCCATTTAGGTGCATAGTATTTGTCCCCATTTAGGTAGGTGTTAGATGCTTCAGGACACACACTGTCTTCATATAGGTTCTGCATATTTCTTATAAGGTTTATTCCTTTGTAGTTTGTCAGTTTTATTAATATGACTGGAACCTCTTCCTTCCCAAGTGTATTTTCTAATCTGTCATTGCAGTATCTAAGAGGCCTCAGTTTATTATCTTTAAAAGTTCAGAACTGGGCCTCCCTGGTGGCGCAGCGGTTGAGCGCTGGGTTGCGAAGCTGCCCGCAGCCTCCGCAGCTCCGGTTCGATTCCCGGCTGCTCCCCGGCCACTGGAGGAGGGTCCCACATGGCGCGCAGACCTCTCCTGCCGCCCGCTGCTCCCCTCAGCAGTGTACCTCGGTCCTTCTGCCTGCTCTGCTCCCCGCTCTGGCTCTGGTGAATTCTCTCACCCTCCCGCGCTTCTGACTGTACCCAGTGCTTGTATAAATAAATAAATAAATCTAAAAAAAAAAAAAAAAAAAGATTAAAAAAAAATAAATAAATAAAAAAATAAAAGTTCAGAACTACTCAGTAAGAGGTTTCCATGGTCAAATAAGTATGGGCTAGACAAAGCTAGATTTTTTCATTTGGGGACTTATCAAAGACTTTCATACACTTTTGCTCCCCTAGAAGGGGTACAGGAAAGGGTACAGGAAATTTCTTAGTTGATGACAGAACCCTTTGTCACAGACATCTTGAAACATACTTTGGAAAACCAGGTGACCAATGACCCCTCTCGTTTCTGATTTTTCAGCCCAGGAACCTCCATTAAACCTTATCCGATGCCCAAACTCAAGCTCCCATACCCCGACAAGAAGAAAAAAGACAACCCAGTGTGAAAGTAAATGCTTTAATTAAAGTGTTGCTCAGAGGAACCATGTCTCTCAACAGCCTCCACTCCACCCAACTCTCTCCGCTGGGCAAGGTGAGCAGGCTGCCTGGGGGGCAAAGGATACGGGGTCTAAAGAGTGAGCTGGGGCAAAGGAGGTGAAGGAGGCATCCTGTGGGGGCTGAGTTCCTGGGAGTGTATGTGGGGTGGGGGCAAGGGCCTCAGGATGGACCCTCTTCAGGCATTCCTAGCAAAGCCACAAGGGGCTCGAGGGGCGTGGGGGTGCTGACAGACACGGGGTGAGTGCGTTCATGCTTGCGCAGGTCGCTGGCACTCAGGAAGGCCTTGGGGCATTGAGGGCAAGTGTAAGGGCGCACAGAGCTGTGGGTGCGGCTGTGCTTACGCAGCCCAGCCCTGTCTGAGAAGCTCTTGCCACACTGGGTGCAGGGAAAGGGCCGTAGCTCGGGGTGGGAGCGCTCGTGCCGTCGCAACAATGTTGGCGTGGAGAAAGTCTCCTTGCACTCCCTGCACACAAACTGTGGTGGCTTCTCGTCGGCCTCCTCACCCCCTACAGGACCAGAAGCCTCCCCAAGCGCAGAGTCTTGGCACTCCACATGCTCCACTGTCATGCCCACCACTTGCCACTGAGTGGCCATCACACCACCTGATTCAGGGGGCAACCCTAGCAGCCCTGCTGGGGGGTCCCCCAGCCCCGCTCCTGTTGTGGGGGCCGCAGAGCCCTCACCTGCCACGCTGACCGGCAGTGCCAGCCCCACTACCAGCTCCTGCTGCGGGGGAGCCCCTGCGGCCTCGCTACTTCGGTGGGTCCGCTCATGCTTCCTCAGGCTTGATGACACCACAAAGGATTTTCCACAGGCATTGCAGTGGAAGGGGCGCTCCCCCGAGTGCACCCGGCTGTGCTTTGTGAGACTGGCTCGCTCAGCGAAGGCTCGCCCGCACTCCTCGCAGCGGAAGGGCCGCTGGCCCGAGTGCACCAGCGCGTGCCGCTTGAGGTCCCAGGACGCCACGAATGTCTTGTCACACTGCAGGCACTTGAATGGCCGGTCGCCCGTGTGCACCCGCCGGTGCATGGCCAAATCCGCCGGCTGCCGGAAGTCCTTGCCGCACTTCTCGCAGCGGTAAGGCTTCACGCCCTCGTGCGCTCGCTGGTGGCGCCGGAAGCTCGAGGGGTCGGAGAACATGCGGCCGCAGCGTGGGCACAGGAAGGGCTTCTCACCGGAGTGCGTCCGCTCGTGGCTCTGGTAGGAGCTGAGCTGCGTGAAGCCCTTGCCACAGGCGGGACAGCGATAGGGCTTCTGCGCGGCATGGATGCGCTGGTGGCAAGTGAGTGAGGACGAGCGGGAGAAGCTCTTGCCGCACTCTGAGCAGAGGAAGGGGCGTTCCCCGGTGTGGGACCTGCGGGAGTGTGGAGGGGCCGGCATGAAGCCTGCAGGCCCGTGACCTGGCTCGTGCTGCCTGTCCAGTCTGTAATTCAGGGCCCCCTGACATCCCTAGGAGTCTTGGCCCAATCTATTAAAATCCACAGAGTTATTTCCCAAGTAAAAAACCTTCAGACCGAGTGTCTAGATAACAGGCAAGACTCCTCTCTGAACACCTGAGACCAAGCCTCTTTCCCAGCTCCAGAGACCCTCTGAGGGGCCCAGCTTCAAGCCCGACGCCCCTTCTTGCTGGCCGGGAATTGAGGCCAATCAGACCCCGCTTCCATCTGCAGGCACCAAGCCGGTGCAGGCGCCAATCCAATGCGGTCACCCCCTCCCAGTGACCAACCAGGGGTACCAACTCCCACGTGCAGACCCATGGTCCCGCCCTCATCTCTTTGGGACCCAACCTCAGGTCCCACTGGCCAGCTCTTCCCCACCCGTTCAGACCCCCCTCACCGCTCGTGGTTGCGCAGGTCCTTCAGCTCTGCGTAGGCCTTGCCGCAGCGCTCACAGCCGTAGGGCCGCAGGCCAGCGTGTGTGCGCCGGTGCTTGCGAAACACCGAAGGGTCGGCGAAGCTCTTGCCACAGTCCGCACAGGTATAGGGCCGCTCGCCCGTGTGGCCGCGCTGGTGGATCTTGAGCTTGGAAAGCGCGCCGTAGGCCTTGGGGCAGTGTGTGCAGCGGAAGGGCAGCTCGCCTGCGTGGGAGGCCAAGTGCACGCGCAGGCACACGGGCTGCATGAAGCGGCGGCCGCACTCGGGGCATGGGAAGGGCTTCTCACCCGTGTGGCTGCGCCCATGGCTGCGCAGCTCGGGTGCTGTTTTGTAGGCTTTGGGACACAGAGGGCAAGCGTAGGGCCGAGGCTTAGCTGCTGCGCCTGACACCTTGTCCCCACTGGCATCTTCCACTTTGGGTTCTGTTTCTGGCTTCAGCTTCACCTCGGCCGCCTGCTCTGCACACTCTACAGACCCGTGTGTGGCAGCATGACGTGCGGCCCTGGGCGCATTTGGGAACGTCTTGGTACAGGACAGGCACTTGTAGCGCCTGCCCGAGCGCTTGTAGCCCGGGGCTGGGGTTCGGGCCTCCATAGACTCCACCTCCATAGCCTCGATGGGCGGGACTTCTCTGCAGGAGAAGCAAAGTTAGACTGAAGCCACATGTTTTTGCCATTCTCCAAGGCCTCTCTCCTCACCCTGAGGAGGACTCTGGGGAAGCCTATCTTATCTGCATTTTCCATCCGGGAGGCCACATCCTTCCAAACATTCCTGAGTCTGACATTCTGCCCTCTAGGTTCCGCTCTGTTCACTGATGAAAGGAGTTGAATAGGTGACCTAAAAGGCTAAGTGAGGGGGCAGAAGTCATCAAACTGTCCACCTCACTTCCTTCCCCAGCCTCAGGGCTTTTCTGAAATGCCTGGTATTCCCAGAAGGCCCAGGTTCTAGCCTGTCATTATTTTCCTTCTTCAGGAAGCGTTCAAGGCATGTGCCAGAAAATTATGCCAGGCTGCAGACACAAAGGTACCCAGATGTGGGGTCTGCCCTGAAGCTCCCAACAAAGACAGACACAGGGCCAGAAGAGGGCAGAAGCATTGGGCTAACTGGTGGCTGGCAGTGTCTGTATGGAATTGACATATTCCCTGCGTATGTATTTTGTTTTCTGCTCTGGTTGGTTAACTTTCAGAGGCAGCAACTGTTGACACAAAATTCTGGCAGATGGAAGGGACTCCACCCGAGACAGGAATCCTGGTCCACCCTCTGGAGCCATCAGGCTCCAGTGCTCTGGTAAAGGAGAGCTGTTACCCTCAAGGCAACTTGAACCATCCTTGGCAGTTAGAAGCCTCTTTCTCTCTCTCTCTCTCTCTCTTTTTAATGTATTTATTTATTTAAAGTAACAGTGCATTATAAGTTTCAGGTGTGCACCATTTAAAATCAACATGTGTATATACTAGATTAATTCCACCACCTGAAGTCCAATTCTGGCTTTCACCGCACAGTTAACCCCTTTTGCCTGACTTACTCTTCCCCCTTTTATTCCCTCCTACTGCTCTTCTGCTTAATTGTTCTTAGCCTTTCAATGAATCTGCTCCAGCCTGGCCGCCTCCTAGGACACCTGCTCTAGTTAAGGCCCCTTCTTTGTTGGTTCAGAGCCCAGACAGCCTCCACCCGGCTGCTACCAGGGATCATAGCTAGGAGGAAAAAGGATTAATGGCTACAGTTAGACTTAACACCAGCTCATCCTTCCTGGGGGATGAAGGGAAGAGGATTATGGCAGATCCACTTCAGGAGTGCTCAGTAGTAGCTGGGGTAGGGGGAAAGACATTGCTAGAGAGGGGAGGGGAGCCCCGGTGTGCTCAGAAACTAGGCTGGAGATGGCGGGGGCTGGGTTCTAGGGCTCCTTTCTAGGCCTGTTTCCTCATACCCCAGGGGTTGGTGGCTTCTAAGTGAAGACCTGGGAAGGATGCAGAAGCCTCTGGGGAGAGTGGCAAGGCTTAGTGCTTTAGAGTCAGCACTCTTCTGCCTCATGGTCCTGCCTGTACCCCAGTACTACACACACAGCCTGATAGGCCACTGGAGTTTTCTCCCTAAAGCACCGTGTGAGGTTCTCTGTCCCCTGCCCAGATGCGACTTCTTTCACATCAGGCAAGTTCTCAGGTCCTTCCCGGTTGTCATAAATCCTTCAAGACCCACTTCACCAAGGAAGCTTTGCATCTCCTCACTGGTTTTGGCCCAACCCCATGCCATGCTATTCCACCCTCTGCTTCACTAACTCCTGGGGCTGGGAGAAGAGTTAAAGGGTGAGAGGCCAACTTTCTCCATGGCATGAATTTCCCCCATGGAGTTTCCAGGGGATCCCTCACTATCACCGAACAAGGCACTTATTACCTCCCTCCAGACCATCTTTGACAGTCTGATTTTCTCCTTAAAAATACCATAGCTACATTTACTGAACACTTGTAAAAAGCATATTGTATCCTAAGCTCTTGACTTGTATTGCCTCACTTAAACTTCATGTCAGCACCACCAGAAAAGTTCCATTATTCTCTTCCCATGACAGGGCCCTAGGTTCTGAGGAACAACACAGCATTGTGGTTAAAGTGCAGGATCTCTGAAACCAAACTGCCTGGCTTTGAACAGTACCTCCCTCACTGCCGAGCTGTGACCTTGTGCAATTTAATTCATGCCTTAGAACCTCAGTTTTCTCATCTGAAAAATGCAGGGTTGGGTGAGGGTTGAATGAGATAATTACTGCCTTCAATTACTGAGAGTCTTCTCAGAGCCAGATGCTCTGCTGAGTGTGCTACCTTATTCTCTTGTCGTTTCCTAAGATAGGGATTATTGTCCTCACTTGACAGGTGAATAAAGGTTCACACAGCTAGTGTGGGACTTGGTCAGGCAACTGGCACTCGAACTCAGGTGTTTAACTTGCCAGGCTTTATGAGGCCTTGCCAGACTTGTCTGCTGCCTGGACCATCCCCACCATGACCAGAACCCTAAGCTCAGGTCACACCTTTGTCTCTTCCCACCCGGATGAACCACCCTGCAAGCACAGTCGGCACCTTCGTGTTACTGTTTCCCTCTCAGAGGGCTGGGTCTTCGGTTCTGAGTTCTGGGCTTCACTCTTTCATCTGTGAACCAGAAACAGCATAGCTGAGGGGATGGAGGTAAATCCCTCCTCCTAAGGTATTTCCTAGAGAAAAGGGGAGTGCCAGGTTGGCCCCAGGAGGGGCCCAGCTCCATGGAAAGTGGAGGGCTAGCTAGGGTAGTCCCCTGTCTAAAATCCAACCAGCACCTCCTCTGCCTGTTCATAGAGGACTCTTCTACTCTTCACTCCCTGAAACACTTGCTGTTTCTCTAAACCAGGTCTCTGAACCCCAATCATCCCGGAACATGGGGAAGGACGCAGAAATCTGTACTTTAAACACACTCTTTGGATCATTCCAACCAATATTCAATACCAAAGATCCAAGCACACATCCTTGGATCCTCATAAGCTTCTAGAAGAAAGGCATCTTTATTATACACCTTTTCCAGACGCAGAAATTAAGGCGCCCCTAAGGGATTTTGTGCACAAGGTCAAGGACCCAGACTCAAACCCAAGTCTTCAGATGCCAGGGCTGGGCTTTTTCTCTACCAGTCTTCATTTACTTAAGGCTTATTAGCCACATCAAGACTTTCCCACTGCTTCTAGGACAAAGTCTAGTATCTTTTCCATGACTGGCCAGGCCCTGAGCCATCTAACTCCTGCCAACCTTACCTTCTAGCCCACTAGGCTTCACCCACACAAGATCCTTTCTTTTGAGCAAATTCCTTCTGACTTCAGGGATTTTGCACCAGTAGTACCCTCTGCCAGGACCACTATTCCCCTAAGATCTATGTAGCTCTTTCATGTGGGTCTCAGCTCTCTGTCAGTTCCTCAAAGAGGGCTTTCCTGGCTGCCTTCCCTGCTCTATCTATATGCTATCTTCACCCCTGCTTCACTGTATCTCCTCCTCCCCTTCTTTAATTTCCTTGACAGTGTTCATCTGGACAACTTTCTCTCCAAGCTTACCATGGGTCAGAATTTTTCCTGTATGCCTCACAACTACCTAGAAATGTTTTATGTATTGAATGCACATATGCATGGATAAAAGACCATGTGAGGACACAGTGATAAGGTGGCCATCTACAGGCCAGGAAAGGAGCCCTCACCAGGAATCAGTACCTTAATGCTGAACTTGCCAGTCTACAGGACTGTGAGAAAGAGATTTCTGTTGTTTCAACCACACAGTCTGTGTTTTGTTTTGTGGTCTGGTAGCCCAAACAGACTAGATCAAATAGTATTATATCCCCCATTTTTTCAGACAAGGATAGTGCGGCACACAGCAGTGAAGTAACTGGTCTTGATCACAGCCAGTGAGAGAACGAACATATGAATGGCCCAAGGGCCAGGTGGCCCAGAGCCAGGAGGCCTGCCTCTCCACTTGTGTTCTGTCCCCTGAATTCTACTTACTAAACTCACACACTTCATGCCATGCTTCATTCTGTCTCCAGGCAAAGAGCCAGGGACCTTTTTAATTCTGGATCCTCTATGCCTAGAACCCTGCTTGGTACCTCAAAAACAATCAATCAACCTCCAAGAATTCAAACTCAGGCTTACAGCTTTTGCCTTCCCCATAATGGGAGTCGATGAGAATGCTGGTAAACAACTATTTATTAATTTAATTTCTCTGCCTCTCCAAGTTCAGAAGGTCCAAATATCAGTCTAATACCCCACACTGTGGGTTCACTGTTTCAGTGAGGGAGCCTTGTCTTTGTTTCATTACTGGCTTAAGAGGGAGATAAAATCCCACTGCCTAAATAGGCTCTAATACAGAATTTTGAATCCCAGAGATTTTAGGCTAGCAACCTGCACAGATAAGGTGGAAAAGGAGCGACTTTTTAATCCCCTCTGCACCTCACTCTCCCCATGTCTAAACAAGCAGTCCCAATAGGGCTCACAGGCCAGAAGAGATTTGGTGAGATAGTGGGTTGGGAGTTGTGAACCGTGCAGAGGTGAGAGGTAATCACCTCCTCAGCTCCCAACTGGTCAATTCACAGCCCAGCTCCCACTTACTTTTCCACACTCAGCTCCAGTGGCACTGACCCCACCCCGACTGCGAACACAATTCTCAAACTTCCCCACCTAAAGACATCACATGCAGCTCCCTCTTGCCTTCTCCTAGGGGGAAATTCTTGTATCCTTTAAATACTCCGCTTCCTCGGTGCCCTCAGGAATACTGAAAAGGCGTTAGGGGTAGGGCGCCGCGGTGCTCGTGCCTCGGTTTCTTCATCAGTAAAATGGAACGTTTTGAGTCATGTGGGAGTTTGAAGGGCTTTAGGGCCTAAGGGACGCATTGAGGAATGGCCGAGGGCTGCGGAAACCCTGCGCTGCTCGCTCCCTGCAACCTTTGTGTCGGCGCCGGCGCCAGACAAACAGCCCCACAGGGCAGGGCGCTGGGTAGACACGTCTTGGAACGAGCCCTGGTTAAACGTGGGCTCGGAGAACGTGGCACGAAGGAATAAACGAAGAATGAGAAAATGAACAAATGAATGGACCGAGGGCCAGACGCTGGACAAAGGCCTGCAAGATGGCGTTCTCTAGGACCGCGGGAGGGGCGGCCGGGACCTCGGCCGAGGAGGGGGTTCCGCCGGCGCCGAGCGCCCTGCTAGGCGGGTCGCGCGCCTGGGACAAAAGCCCACAACATGGCGGGCTCTAGGACCCCCGGGCCCGCCCCGTGCAAGGCGGACAGCCGCGCCGCCGGAGCCCAGGCGACCGCAGCCGCCGGCCCGCGGGGACAGCCGGCGGGTTCTAGGACCCGCTGGGCCGGAGCCGCCTGCACCCGCCCGAGGCCGCACCGCTCCCGCCCCGCCCGCGCTGCTCGCGCCAGGCCAACCCCATCCGCCCTCAGCGCCCTCAGGGAAACCGATGTCCTTCCCGACAGCGTCCGCGCTGGTGCCCCCGGGGGTCCCCGCGGCCTCTCCCAGCGCCTCCTACCTGAATGCACTCGGGTCGGCTCGGCGGCGCCAGCTCCAGCTCCTCGGACGACGGAGCCCGGGACGCGGCCGGGGAGGGGCAGGCGCTAGGACCCGGCGGGGGGCGGGGGGCGGGGAGGCGGGGCCGCGAGCGGAAGTGGAAGGAGCTCTCCTGGCTACCGAGGAAGGCAGAGTTTACCCGAGCTCCCCCAGCCGAAGGGGGCGAGAAGCATCTTGCCGGGTCTCAGTGGGTGCGAGTGGCAGGGGACGTCGGGCAGGTCCCGGTGTGACCCGGCTATCGCGAGCCTGGGGCCAGCTCATCCAGGACTGGAGGGTGGGAGGACAGAGAGGCCATGCTCGGGATCGGTACACCCGAACCCCGCCTGTATTCCATAACATTTCCTTTAACAGCGAGGAGTGAATGAATCGACTCCCATCTGCCTTGAGCTTTTCAGGGAGCCCCACGAAAAGTGTCGCCAAATTACTCAGGTCAGGGCTGCAGAACCCTTTTTCCCCTCCTCTGTGTCCAATCAATATGCACCGGAACGATTTTCGCTGCCCCTGCCGGAAGTGTGGCTGAGGGGGCGGGTTACGACGCAGCGCTCTGACCTACGGGGGCGGGGTCGGTGCCGCGTTTGAGCTAATGCTCGCCGATTACCGGAAGTGTGTCTGTGTGGAACGGCACTTGGAGGCGGGACAGGATATGTTCCCGAAGGCGGAGGTTTCGCGGGGAAGCTTTTGCGGCCAGGACACTTCCTGTTTCCTAGTAACAATAGGAAGTGTCCGCGGACCCGAGGCTAGACTCTTGGTTCGTGCCAGCTGCGCCCACTTTCCTTTACCTCCTTCCTTTCCCTCCTCCTCCTTTCCCCCTTTCTCTCCCCTCTCACTTCCCAGGAGCCCTGGCAGAGTGTGGTGTGTGGAAGCGCGAGAGTCCCCGTACAGCCACCCCTTGGGGCGCGCGGCTGCAGTTAGGGTGAGGGTCCCATTGCGCAGGCGCGCTCCCGTTCGCGGTCCCCAACGGACGCACCCGCGGCGGGAGCGAGAAAGGGCCACCGTGTGAGGTAGGGGTCCTAAGAGTCACTTGGCAGAGATGAGTAAGGCGAAAGGACCTGGCTGGTGCTTAATTAGGAGAGGGGATTCTTGAGCGAAAGGGCTTTGTGAGGTGAGAAATTACGGAGCAGGTTCAAAAAGGGGATTTAGTGTCGGAGATAGGAGTTTATTGGGATCCCATGGGAGTGAGGAATCATAGTGAGAGAAGGCCAAGGGGGCATAGGCGTGGGGAGCAACTATGGAGAGACAAGGGCTTTGGAAAGAAGATTGCCAGAGTCAGTGAGTTTGCTCTTGTGTAAACTTGTGTTGTGAGGATTCAGTGACACAATGCGTAAGCTCTGGACAGTGGTGGATGGTATCGCTGTTAGCATGCTTTGTTGTCATCATCAGTGTTTGAGAGGAGGTAGAAGAAAAATGAGAAGGGATAGTAAGGATGGGAGGAATGGGAAAGGAATAGGTAGGGGGTGCAGACCAACCAAAACTGGGATGGAATTTCCAAGATGGAATATAGTTTGGGTTTAGGGGAAGAAGGTGAAAGAAATGGTCAAGAGACTCTTGGAAAGAAGACCTTCTGGCCCTGAAAGCAATAGGGGAGGGGAACAAGCCACCTCATTCTCTGAAGAAAGCCTCTTAAGCCCTCAGCTATCAACTGGAGAAAGAGGCTGCTTTTTTAGTACTGTAGGCTACTCTTTTTAGCCAAGGCATCAAGGAGTGAGGAGGACTGGACTTTTATAATTGAAGGTTCTAAAAAAGGTTCAGATTTCCTTTAAGAGATCACAGAAGATAGGTTCGGTTTGTTTCAAAATTACAGAGCATAGAGTTAGGTACCGTAAGGGTTTTTGGATTTGGTCTAAAGAGCAAGATAATTGACCTATGACTAGAGGTACGTTGTATTCCTCTAGACTTGAGCCTGAGCTAGGCCTAGAAGAGTTTCCATATTTGTGGAACTTGTGTGCAAGGAGGCCTTGAATGATGATGCTTCAAGATTAGAACCAGTGGGAAGCAGGTTTGTAGGCATGGATGCTTGGGGAAACTTTCTGACCTCTGGTGAACTTGTTGCTGATAGAACCAAGAGACAAAGTTGGTTCAGGCCTGCCTTCTGACCATTGCCTCCTCTTCCTAGGCCTTGGCCCCTCCACCAGAGGAAGATGCTGCTGCCATCTGCCTGCTCTTCCTGAACCTCCAGGCTTCTGTCACACTGCCCCATGGAGGACGTTCCCACCTCACTCAGCTGCTCTGACTGTCAGCGCCACTTTCCTAGCCTCCCCGAACTATCACGGCACCGTGAATTACTCCACCCATCTTCCAGTCAGGACAGTGAGGAGGCTGACAGCATCCCTCGACCCTACCGCTGTCAGCAGTGTGGGCGGGGCTACCGTCACCCAGGGAGCCTGGTCAACCACCGCCGGACCCACGAGACTGGCCTTTTTCCCTGTACCACCTGTGGTAAGGACTTCACCAATCCCATGGCCCTCAAGAGCCACATGAGAACTCATGTTCCTGAGGGACGCCGAAGGCGCAGGCCGCCCCGCCCAAAGGAAGCCGCGCCACACCTCCAGGGTGAGATGGTGTCCACTGATTCCTGGGGCCAGAGGCTTGGCCCTGTGGAAGGCTGGGAAAACCAGAAAAAGCATCCTGAAGAGACATCTGGCTGTGAGTCTGGGCCTGATCCCGCAGCAGCCCTGGGCACTTGGGAAGATCCCACTACCAGACAAAGAGAAGGCTGGGAAAACCAGCCAGATCCTGAGGACGGTGCAGAGGACTGGGGACCCACCACCAACTCTGCCAAAGCACCACCACTCCCCACCCCAGCCAGCAGCCTCCTTAGCAATTTGGAACAATATTTGGCTGAGTCAGTAGTGAATTTCACGGGGAGCCAGGAGCCCACCCAGTCCCCTCCTGCTGAGGAGGAACGGCGGTACAAGTGTAGTCAGTGTGGCAAGACCTACAAGCATGCTGGGAGCCTCACCAATCACCGCCAGAGCCACACCCTGGGCGTCTACCCTTGTGCCATCTGCTTCAAGGAGTTCTCTAACCTCATGGCTCTGAAGAACCATTCCCGACTCCATGCCCAATATCGGCCTTACCAGTGTCCTCGTTGCCCCCGCGCCTTCCGCCTTCCCCGAGAGCTGCTGGAACACCAGCAATCCCATGAGGGGGAGCGGCAGGAACAGCCGTGGGAAGAGAAAGGGATGCCTACCACCAATGGGCACATAGACGAGAGTAGCCGGGACCAGCTCCCTAGTACACAGATGCTGAACGGCTCTGGGGATCTCAGCACCTCTGGGGAGCTGGAGGACAGTGGCCTGGAGGAGTATCGACCTTTCCGCTGTGGGGACTGTGGCCGTACCTACCGCCATGCTGGGAGCCTCATCAACCATCGCAAGAGCCACCAAACAGGTGTGTACCCCTGCTCCATTTGTTCCAAGCAGCTGTTCAATGCAGCTGCCCTCAAAAACCATGTGCGGGCTCATCACCGACCCCGGCAAGGAGCTGGGGAGGATGGGCAACCATCAGTGCTGTCAGCACCTCTACCTTTGGCTGAGAGCACCCCCAAAGAGAAAGCATGCCCCACTACCTCCCTGGACCACCGCCCCTATAAGTGCAATGAGTGTGGTCGGGCTTACCGCCACCGGGGCAGCCTGGTAAACCACCGCCACAGCCATCGAACAGGAGAATATCAGTGCTCACTCTGTCCCCGCAAGTACCCCAATCTTATGGCCCTGCGCAACCATGTGCGGGTACATTGCAAAGCAGCTCGCCGCAGTGCAGGCCCAGGAACTGAGCGTCCCCCTACCCACCTCAAAGTGGAGCTTCCACCTGACCCGCCGGGAGTAGAAGCAGCCCCACACATCGATCTGGAGCATGGGTGCAAACATGAAGAGGAAACCACTGAGATCCCCCCAGCCGCAGACAGGACAGCACCACAGATACGTAATGTGTGTGGGCTGCTCTTTGATGACCCCAAGAGCCTTGAACATCATGGCCAGACCCATGGGGAAGGGGAAAACCACAAGACAGAGACCAGGGTGTCACCTCCTCGGACATTTGCCTGTCGAGACTGTGGCAAGAGCTACCGTCACTCAGGCAGTCTTATCAACCACAGACAGACCCACCAGATAGGAGACTTCAGTTGTGGGACCTGCGCCAAGCACTTCCACACCATGGCAGCCATGAAGAACCACTTGCGACGCCACAGTCGACGGCGGAGCAGGCGGCACCGGAGGCGAACTGGCAACGTGGGTGGTGGGGGAGAAGCCAAACTCCCATCAGGCGGGAGCTGGGCCCAGAAATCAGTGGAAGATAATGAGGGCCTGGATTGTCCCCAAGACCCTGCCGGGCAAAGTCCTGTTGTAGCTGAAGACACCTTGGAGAGTGATGGGGACTGTTTGCAGGCCAGATTCAAAAGGGACAAATGTGGGCTCGAGAGCGGTGAGGCATGTTTCCAGGGTGATAAAGAAAGCAGAAGCACTGAGGAAGGACTGGAAAGAAAAGAGGCCTGTTTCCTTGACAACTTGGACCTCCCAGGCCATGAGGAAGGTGATGGGACTCGCTTCTGTGATGGCCTCATTGGGGTGGATGAAGACCAGAAACCAGCCTCTGGTCAGCCCAGCTTCTCTTCCCCCTCAGGCGAAGCTGTCCCTAGCTGGCAGGCTGAGGTCTCCCATACGTGTGCTGACTGTGGGCATTCTTTCCCCCATGCCACTGGCCTCCTGAGCCACAGACCCTGCCACCCACCTGGCATCTATCAATGTTCCCTCTGCCCAAAGGAGTTTGACTCCCTGCCTGCTCTGCGTAACCACTTCCAGAACCACAGGCCCGGGGAGGCAGCCTCAGCACAGCCTTTCCTCTGTTGCCTCTGCGGCATGATCTTCCCTGGGCGGGTGGGCTACAGGCTTCACCGGCGCCAGGCCCATGACTCCTGCGGCATGACTGAGGGCTCTGATGAGGAGGGGGACGAGGAAGGAGCAGCTGGGGCAGCCTCCACTGGTAGCCCCCCACTGCAGCTCTCGGAAGCAGAGCTGCTGAATCAGCTGCAGCGGGAAGTGGAGGCGCTGGATGGAGCGGGTTATGGGCACATCTGTGGCTGCTGCGGTCAAACCTATGATGACCTGGGGAGCCTGGAACGTCACCACCAAAGTCAGAGTTCTGGGAACACCACCGACAAGGCTCCCATCCAGATGGGAGAGTCAGGTAATGCCACGGGGATGGCTGCAGATGGTGTCTCTGAGGGCACAGCGATCTCTCTCTCTGGGGCGGGTGGAGAAACAAAGTCTGGCGAGGGAATAGGCACCACAGCTGCAGACAGTTTGTGCATGCAGGGGGGGGAATGTTCTCTGGAGACCCAGCCCCGCCCCTTCCGCTGCAACCAGTGCGGCAAGACCTATCGCCACGGGGGCAGCCTGGTGAACCACCGCAAGATCCACCAGACCGGAGACTTCATCTGCCCTGTCTGCGCCCGCTGCTACCCCAACCTCGCTGCCTACCGTAATCACCTGCGAAACCACCCGCGCTGCAAAGGCTCTGAGCCCCAGGTGGGGCCCATCCCAGAGGCAGGAGGCAACAGTGAGTCCCAGAACATGGCATCAGAGGGGCTGGGGCAGGAAGTGGGGAAGCTCCAGGAAGAAGTTAAGTTGGAGCCCCTGGAGGAGGTGGCAGGGGTGAAAGAGGCGTGGGAGGAGACCACTGTGAAGGGGGAGGAGGTGGAACCGAGGTTGGAGACTGCAGAGAAAGGCTGCCAGACCGAGGCCAGCTCTGAGCGGCCCTTCAGCTGCGAGGTGTGTGGCCGGTCGTACAAGCATGCCGGCAGCCTCATCAATCACCGGCAGAGCCACCAGACTGGGCACTTTGGCTGCCAGGCCTGCTCCAAAGGCTTCTCAAACCTCATGTCCCTCAAGAACCACCGGCGCATCCATGCGGATCCCCGACGTTTCCGCTGTGAGTGTGGGAAGGCCTTCCGCCTGCGGAAACAGCTGGCTAGCCACCAGCGGGTCCACGCTGAGCGGAGTGCTGCTGGGGGCACCCGAAAACTGCCTCGGGAAGATCGGCCCTTCCGCTGTGGGCAGTGTGGGCGGACCTACCGCCATGCTGGCAGCCTCCTGAACCACCGACGCAGCCATGAGACGGGCCAGTACAGCTGTCCCACCTGCCCTAAGACCTATTCCAACCGCATGGCCCTGAAGGACCACCAGAGGCTGCACTCGGAGAGCCGGCGGCGGCGCGCAGGGAGATCCCGGCGGGCAGCTGTGCGCTGTGCCCTCTGTGGCCGGGGCTTCCCTGGCCGGGGATCCCTGGAGCGGCACCTGCGAGAGCATGAGGAGGCCAGAAGTGGTCGTGAGAGCCCAAGTGGCACCCAGGGCAGTGAGGAGAAACTGGCTGATGACCAGGGACTAGAGGACAGATTGGGGGGTGTTGAGTCAGTACCCCAGCTGGAGGATGGAGCAGCGAGGCCAGGGGAGCAGAGTCAGAGCCTGGTCGGGGCAGCTGGTTCAGAAGCCACAGAGCCGATGTCCTGGGGCACGGGGAAAGCAGATGGGTGGCGAGGAGACAGGGGAGCAGTGAATCATGATGAAGATTGGGTTCTTCGGGGTCATGTGCTGACCAAGCCAGAAGATGAGTCAGGGGACAGTGTCCCCAGGAGCCCCTGCCACTTTGCCGACAGCCAGCCCAACGGACCTCGTCTGAGTCACATGGACAGCTGGGACAGTGGAGACAACAACCCTCAGCTCCAGCCAGAGAGCCACCTCTTTTCTTGCAGCCATTGTGGCAAGGCCTGCCAATCAGAAGGCCTCTTGAACCACCACAGCACCCACAAGACAGACCGCCACTATTGCCTGCTCTGCTCCAAGGAATTCTTGAGTCCTGTGGCCACCAAGAGCCACAGTCACAATCACATAGCTGCCGAGACCTTAGCCTGCCCTGACTGCGGCAGGGCCTTTCAGTCCCACCATGAACTAACAGACCACCTGCAGACTCATGCTAAGGGCCTCAATCAGGTGCCACACCAGATAGAGGCCAGACATCCCAAAGCTGGGACTGTGGAGGATAACGTGGCTCTCCCTGGCCCAGGGAATGCCCAGGACGTCCCAACAGAAAGCCCCAGGACCCCAGGAGAGAATGCCAGGAGAGCTAATGGAGGGCAAGAAGTCAAGTCCACAGTGGCTGAAGAAGAGGAGCGGCCCTTCCGCTGTGCCCAGTGTGGGCGTTCCTACCGTCATGCCGGTAGCCTGCTGAACCACCAGAAGGCCCATACCACTGGACTCTATCCCTGCTCCCTCTGCCCCAAACTTCTACCCAACCTACTGTCCCTTAAGAACCATGGCAGGACCCACACGGACCCAAAGCGCCATCGCTGCAGCATCTGTGGCAAGGCCTTCCGGACAGCCGCCCGCCTGGAGGGTCACGGGCGAGTCCATGCACCCCGGGAGGGGCCCTTCACCTGCCCCCATTGTCCCCGCCACTTCCGTCGCCGAATCAGCTTCCTGCAGCACCAGCAGCAGCACCAGGAGGAATGGACAGTGGCCAGATCTGGTACGGGGGCATGAGTGGGCTTGGGCAGAGGATTGAGGGGCCCTGAGGAGGCGGGTCCACGGTGGAGGGCACAATCTGGCCCCGAGGCAGGTGGCAGTGCAGGGTGAGGGTCGTGAGGGTCGCGTGGGTTCTGAGAGGCGGCTGGCACTTGGATGTGGAGTGGGAAAACCAGTTTGTGAATGCTGCCTTTTGAGCATCTGAGACGAACCCCCCTAGTCAGGTACATAGTGGGACAGGGTGGGGTAGTCATGGGCAGAGGTGGAGGCAGGTGTCGGCTGCTCAGCTGGGCCAAGATCAAAGAGGAGTGGTCTTGTTTTCGTGGGGAGGTCACGGGGTTCCATCTCGCTGCTCCGTCTGGAAACCCTGCTGATCAGCCACTGAACGCTTCCCAGAGAAAAAGATGGCCTAGGTTCTTCCCGGGAGTAGGCAGGGAGCCAGGGAATGCAGAGTGGGTGTGGGAGGCACCCTCAGACTAAGGCTGCAGAGCTGATTTGTCCAGGGAAACTGGGTCACGGGTTGGCACCCAGCGCCCGTCCCTCTTCCCCGCGTCCTCTTTCAGTCCTCGCCTGTTCGCGTGGATGCTAGACCTTTGGTCCTGCCCTACCAGCGTGGCCCTCTCCTCCTCTTTAACCAGCTCTTCCCTCTCTGCTGTCGATCTCCTTTTTAGTGCCCAACTAAACCGCCTTTCCACCTGCATACCCCTCCCCGCCAGCACACCTTTAACTGGAGGACTGAGTCACGGATAATTGTTTCTTTGAAGCCAGGCCTTGCTGTAGCAACAACAGTCATTAGCCCCTATCTCCCATCTATCAGAAAGTCACCTCCACCCCACCCTGTTGGAGGAGGAGGCTGCAGAATTGGGGGACAGCTTGTCCCCTCAGCAGGCCCCGGGCTCACAGTCTCCACCTCCTCTAGAGACTTGTGGCCTTTGTGCAGGGACAAAGTGCCATTGTGCCATTTAGTGGCACCAAGGGTGGGTGCCCTGAGTTGGCATGCTCTTGACCGGAGACAGCCAGGGGAAAGGGAGGTTCCCGAGAGGGCTATAGAGATGACTTTCAGGATAGAAGATTTCTTGTGACCTCAAGGGAATGAGTAAGGAGCAAGTTAGCCGGGACTGGGAACATAAATTGGGTGTCCTGATTTCTCATACAGGCCTCTGGGACCACGGGCAGGGAGGGGAATGGCCTGTAGGGCTGGGGAGGGGGTATAAGCTGTGTGGGGTTTGCCCCCTCAGTGACCTCCTCTCTCTCTCCCTAGGAGCCCCAAAGGCATCAGCGGCGGGCAGAGGGGATTTGTCACTGCCCCCTCCACCCACCCCCACGACCCCACTCATGGACCCTTCACCCCAGTGGCCTGCAGACCTCAGCTTCTCCCTCTGAACTTCAAGTCTCCAAAGATCAGAATACGGGGTGGGGTGGGGTGGGGGGTTGCAGGGAAAGGCTTGATCTCCATATTTTGCTCAGGAGTAGTTTGGGCACCCCCATCTCTTTTCTCCTCTCTCCTGAGAAGAGGACCCAGATCTGGCTTCTTTCCCAAGGAGGGCTGAGGGGTTGGTTCCTCGGGACCTTGAAGGTGCTCCTTCCCGCAGCCTGTCACCATGTTCTTCCCTATGACTGGCCCTGCAAGAAACCTGGTGCCAGGCTCTGCCAGGCGCTGGGCCCGCTCACCAGCCAGCTTTGGACACCAGAGAGAGGCAAATTCCAGAGAGCCACAGGTGGGAAGGTGGCCTGTGGAAGGGGAGCCTTTTGCTACAATTTGTAACTTATTTTCTAAAGTCTATTTTGTAACAATTTATTTAAGTTTTAAAAAAAGGAAAACTGCCCCCTCCCCTCCAAAAAAAGAAATTTTCAAAGTATGGGCCTGGTGTGGTTGTATCTCAGGGGATGAAAAATTAGGGAAGCCCGGAACGCCTGCGTCAGAAAGAAGAGCTGGGTGTGGGGCGCACCCCCAGACGACATCCTGTCCTGCAGGGTGGGGAGTGGGGGCGGCTGCTGCTCAGAGCAGGCTGTTGGGCCTGTTCCAGTGCCTGGAACCATGTGGGTGGGGGTGCTGGGAGAGAGGCAGGGCAGTGATGCGGGATTGCTTCTGTGTCCGCAGCATCCCAGCATTGCCAGTCAACAGCCCGCTGGTTGGCCTGTCAGGAAGAGGGAGGGTGGGGTTAGCCGCATCCTGATCACTTTTCTCCCTCCCTCCAAAAAGGAAGGAGATACTGCTTAGTCTCCACGACAGGTGGAAAAGCTGTGATTTGGAGAGATGGAGAGGTCTGCCCCGAGTCACACAGAGGGATCAGCACCTGACTTTGAATCCCAGGGGTCTGCCCTCTGCCCCACCCATGCAGGGGAGGTAGAAGTGGGGAAGAACAGATCTTGCCCTAGCATGAGAGAAGGACCTGGAAGTACTGACAGGGGGTCCAGGGCCACATACTCGTGTTGGCAGGGCAGCTTCCCATCTCGGCCTCTGCCTCCGGCTCCGGCTCCGGCTCCTCAGAGAAGTAGACCTGCCAATCCAGACTGCTGATCCAGCTCTCATAGGGGGCGAGTGCCGTGAAGACTGCAGGCCGGCCTGGGCCCTGGCAGGCATCTCCGAAGCTGTGTAGCCCAGCCAGGAACCACGTGCCTCTCACCTCGTGCACCAGTGGTGCCCCAGACAGACCCTGTTGGGGGTCAGGTGACACTGGGTGACTTCCTCTTCCCCTTGGGCAGTTGTGGGGGAAAAGAAGGAGCCTGGTGCTGGGCTGTGGCTCTGGCTGGTTGGAGCCAGTTAGCAGAAAGGCCTAGCTCCAGGCCTAGAGGCTAAGCCTGGCAGAGGGTGCTTTCATGGGTTGTAGGGTAAAGGGGGGAAGATTGAGGGATTGGGCTCACCTCACAGTGGGGAGGCTCACCCACGACACTGGTACACACCATCCCTGGCAGAATGGGGATGCTGCTGTTCCCAAGGCCTGTGTGAAGCCTGCTGCAGGCCTTGGGCCCCAAGAGGGTCACAGGCACTGTCTGCGGGGACCTAGTGCCTGTAGAGCAAATGAAAAAACCCAGCTGCCCGGCAGCCTCACCTGGATGGCCAGTGGCCCTTGGCCCTGTTCTACTTACCTGCTCCTTGGCGGACCAGCCCCAGGACCCAGCCACGTTCCCCATCAGGCAGCTGGTGGTCAGCGTAGGGCAGGCAAAGGGGTCTTAAGTTGGGGCCCAGTGTCACGGGCTGGGCCAGGAGCAGGAGGGCCATGTCGTAGCCCCCCTCTGGGTGAGTGTAAGCTCCATGGAGGATGAGTTGCTTCAGGCTTCGCTCCTCTGCTCCGGCCCCTAGCCCTACACTCCATTCCTCTGGCGTCTGGCGCCTGTGCAGAGGCAGCGTTGACAGCACTGAGTGGCAGGGCTGCCAGCAGGGGCGGGGGCGCAAAGTTGAAGGGCATAGGGCTCACCCGATGAAGCAGTGGGCCGCAGTCAGCACTACCTCCTCTGACACCAGGACTCCGCCACAGGCCAGCTTTCCCTGATATTTCAGCCTGGCATCCCAGGGCCATGGGGAGGGGACTCCGGTCTGGGGACCCCCTCCCTTCAGAGATCCGCAGGCTGAAACAGATTACATCATCTGGCTTTCTTGTGCTCACTGCCTCCAGGCCCTATACTGAGCGCTTCCTGCACACTATCAAATCCTCACAATATCCTTTTAGGTTGAATTTTGTTATGCTCATTCTCGAAGGTAACCAAAGTTCCAAAGAAGTTAAGTGACTTTCTAACTCTGTAGCCACAGGCAAGCAAAAGGCTTGGGGTTCAAAAGCCTTTAATCCTGATGGTCCGCCTCATGGGAGTGGCGCGGCGCTTTCTTACCCCACCCCACATCTGCACCCCTCCAGGCTTGGACTGGTTTCAGAATTCCTGGCTCACTAGTCTTCTCTTACCATCAGGATATAGCTTCTATCTCAGGAATTATTTATATTTTTTGAAGATTTATTGATTTATGCATACAAGAACTGGGGTACAGGCAAGAGGTATGTAGGCGTGAGAGGATTCACCAGAGATAGAGTGGGGAGCTGAGCAGGTGGATCTACTGAAATACACTGCTGTGGGGAGCAGGGGGGAGACAGGAGAGGTCTGCTGCGCCATGTGGGTCAGCTCCCTGGCTGGGGATCAAACTCGTGTGGATAGCTTCATAGTGCTGTCTTAACCCCTTGCGCCACCAAGGAGGCCCCGCCAGGAATTATTTTGCATGCAATTTTTGTGTTAGTCACTTAATGCCAGAATCCTGAGGGGGTGCCCTAACCTGTCCAATCTGATTCCCTGCTTAGAAACTTTCAGATGACCTCAGAAACCTTCACGTTCTCAGAGGTTCCACTGCTTACCTACATCCCAAACCTATAAAGTTCCAAAGCATCTATGCTTCTCAGCCCTATGTGGACCTGTCCCCATTGTGGGGCCTAATAAGAACCTGGGAGGTCCCACCAGCTGCTCGCTCCTGGCAGCATGTGGCCGCCCTGTAGTGATTCTGTATTCTGAGCTGATGTTTAACTCTGTCGTCTGCAAACTGCCCAGATGTCTCCTGGGTGTCCCCACATAACTCCCTCTCAACCTCCCTGCTCCTCCTCATACCTACACAGCTGTCCTCATCACTGATCTCCTGGGTCTTTGGGTTCTGGGCCAGGAAAGCTGCCCCCTCAGCTCGAGCCTGCAGCCAGGAGCTGTGAGCAGCTGTGTCAGTCAGCAGCACCGGAGTGTCTTCCTGGGCACAGCTCGATGCAAAGCTGATGATTCCAGCTTGAACCCAGTGTCCACTGGGCTCTCGGCACAGCACTGGGCCTCCGGAGTCTCCCTGGAGCCAGGCAACAAAGTTCGTCCGGGACAGATACCTGACCCCCAGCCCGAGGAGGACACCTTCTACATGCAACCCTCCCACTTGTTCCTGTGGACCGAGCACCCAGTCTAAGGTTAGATCCCCTCCCCTTGTGTTCCTGACCCCTTGTCCCCCTCAGACCTGACAGGGCCCCTGCACCCCCGGCTGGGCACCCCCACACAGCATCCCAGGCCGAGCTGGGCTGGCCAGCAGCCGCTGGTGCAGCCGATTGTAGAGACAGTTACACGTGGGGCGGCTGATTAGATGAAGGCGCAGGTTCCGAAGGGTCCCGGGAGCTGGCAAAAGAGAGGGGGGCAAGGGAGCAGGAGACTGGGAGCAGGGACAGTTGAGCTGTTGAAGCTGTGTGACCTTAGGCAAGCAGAGTACCTCTCTGGGCTTCAGTCTGAAAGCACTTACCATCATTGGTGTCCTGACCCCAGCCAGTGGCCCAGCAAGCAGTCCCAAAGGGGAAGTGATGGGCGGGTTGGGGCAAGCAGAGGGGCATGTGCGCTGCAGGGCGGGCCAGCCGTAGCAGGGCCAAGTCTGAGCCCTGGCTATAGTGATTGTAGGCCCTGGGCAGCTGCAGAGCTGTCACCCCCACCTCCTCAGCTCCTGGACTCAGCCCTTCACGCTGCAGCGAACCCAGGACAACTGACCAGGATTTCAGTTCTGTCATCGCCGCCCTGGAGGGGCAGGTACAAATTACAGGCATTGAGTGCAAGGGCAGGCAGTGACACTGGGAGGCTGCATAGGGTAGGGGAAAGATGGACAAATACCAGCCGTGACTTTATGCAAGGGTCTTCCTTCCTTTCAACCTCAGTTTTTCATTTGTAAAGCTTCCATTGATAATATGTATTTGGCATGTGGCATATTTTGAATAAATGGTACTTTGTTTTTATAGGGGCAGGTATCAGTCTAGTGGGATTTGGGGAGAAGACACCCATCCTAAAGCCAGAAACCCAGCCATGACTCACTTTTCAAAGCAGTGGGCAGCAGTGAGGACCCAGGTGTCTGCCACCAGGGAGCCGCTACAGATGTGGACCCCCTGCCTCCTCACACTGGCCTGCCATGGCCACTCACCAGGCACCGTGATGCCTTCTTGGGGCTCAGGGGGGCCAGGGCCACGCTGCCCACAAGCTGTGGGGAGAGGTGGGTCAGGCTGACAGCAGTCCTCTGCCTTGCCTTCAGAACGCTCTGAAGGCAAGGCAGAGGCAACTGAGACCCAAGTAGCAAAGCCCAGGTGCCACGACCCCAGAGCTTACCATGCTGAGCTGCTTGAACACCTGGGAAGAGAGAGAGAAGGGACTTGGGGAGAGCCTTACCTCCAGCTCCAGCCCAGTGTTGGTGGAGGGACTGGGTCAGACGGATAGGCCCTGTGTCTCTGGCTATGACTCTGTGGCTACCTCATCAGCCCCTCCCAGAATGAAAATATTTATGAGGTCCAGAAGCAGCTTTTATTGGAACCTATTCAGCGTGTACACTCTAATTAATTTTCCCTCAGCTGTGCTCAGCACTCCTGTGCCTGATGAGCAGGGCCCAGGATTCAGCTTGGGACCAGGCCAGTCCTCCTCCTGGCTTTAGAACCCCCAACCTATGCCCCCACTGTTGAGTCAGAGAGGCAGACTGTGGATGTGGAGTCCATTTAGTTTAATTGTGCCTCAGCCATGAGGCCTAAGAGCAAGGATTAGGAGCCCATACCTCAGCCAAGTGGGGGAGGGCTCCAAGAGATTGAAACCCACCTCATCCCTGTTCTAACAACTCAGATTCCCCACCCTTCCAGAAACCTCCATACTCCCAAAAGTTCCCTTGCCACACCTCTTCTCCATCACAGGCACACAAACATACCTATTAAAAATCAAAGCCAGGAGCAATGGAGACAGAGATGGGCCCCAGGGCCCCAGAGCTTGCCTGAGGTCATTTGAAGTAGAAAGGCGGAAGGTACAGACTAGCAGAATGACAGTCCCTGCAGGTACAGACTGTAATCCAGCCCCAGAAAATCACATCCCTCTAGATGCAGGCAGCCACATACACCTCCCCACACACGCATTCAGTTACATCGCTACAGGTAAACTGTCACCCCAGAGGGGGGGTGCAGGGACTGCAGGGCAGAGGGTGGGCCCTGGACCCCCACCACCCGCTCCCACCTTGGCTTACCCTCTATGAAGACCACCAGGCCTATGATGAGTAGCCCTGGTCCCCAGCTCTGCTCCATGCTGCTCCAGGCCACTCTGCTGTCTGTGCCTCCTCAAAGGATGTCTGGGTCTCCTTCGCCCCGCCCCTGCCCCGCCCCCCACTGACAAGGCGTCAGGTGTCATCGCTTTTCTTGCGCTGGAAAGGAGCCAGCAGTTCCCAGCTCTGGGACTGTAGCTGTGTGACCCTGGGCTAGTCACCACCCCCCTCTGGGCCTCAGCGGAAGCCAACTGCCTGGGTTCAAATCCCACTTCTCTTCTTAATTAAGTGGTCTTGGACAGTTATAGCCTGTCTGTGCCTTGTCTGAAAAGCTCAGGGCTGTGGAAGGTGAAAGTGTGTTTAGGGGGGAGCGTAGCAGGGGAACGTGCTCCTGGCGTAGACACTACCTCCGGGAACTGTGCCGGCACGGTGAGCAGGCCCTCCTCGTTGTCGCTTTCCATTCCAGCTTCCCGCTTCGCCCAGGCCCAGGTGGGTTTCATGCACCTTCTCCCATCTCGCTTCAGAGGCAGCAAGTACAGGGAGGGGTGGGGCTCTGCTACTTGCTGGGACACCCCAATCTCAACACCTTCCTGGGTCAGCCGCTTCCCGGGAAACAGGGTTTACGGTGGTGTCCACCTTTCTCGCAGGTATTGACCGACTCTCAATCAGGAAGGAGGAACACTGAGTCCTTTCTTTACTCTGGACTTGTAACTTAGGCCAAGCCCAGACTCTTCAGGAACCCTGACCCCAACCTGGCTAGGGTTGAGAGCGTAAACATCAGGGCCAGACGTCCCAAGTGGATTCGAATCCTGAGGGCTCCCTAACTCTTTCCCCAGCACTGGCTGCTGACCCTAGGAAGTTACTTAGCCTTTCTGTACCTCGGTTTCCTTATCAAGATAGGGATAATAACTATCTACCTCATACAATTGCTATAAGGATTAAATGAGTCAACATGTCATGTTCTTAAACAGTGCTTGGCATGCAGGTGAGTGCTTAGTACATATTAGGAAAAACAAAACAAAAATGCTCACACCTGTTGCTTGCCCTCCAGGGCTGCCAAGATTGGCTTGGGGTAGTAGAGAAAGCAGTGAAGGGGTTAAGGTTGGACTCCAGGAACTTCCAGAACTTCCCAGCAAGCAGGCACAGAATCAGAAGGGCAACTTGCCCTTGCAATGCATGCTTAGACCTGCCGGGAGAGGAGGTCTGCTTCTGTGGGCAGCAAGGACAAGCTCCCAGCCTGTTTTCCTGGGGGTGGGGGCTGATGGCACCCAGGTCTTGCTGACTCCACATGCTGGAGAAGGAACTAACCACCCTCACCAGACAGGCCCTCCACTTTCTGACTCATATCCTTCTAGCCTCAAAGGAGGCCAAAAACCCAACGCTAGGGTCTCTGACACAGAGATGGCTCAGACTTGGCCAATTTATTTAAATAATTTTATTGCTTCCCTTTTTGGGCAATCGCAGGCGCTTTGAAGACCAGCCCTTGGGGACAGAGTCAAAGGCACTAGGGTGAAGGAATGAGCACGGCACGTTTGGTCCATTGTCCTGTGTGGGAATATGGTGGGGGCTGGTTGCAAAGTCTTCTATGGACCCAGACATGGCCCCCTTGGGCAAAGCTCACATGCCAAAGCAGAACAAATATAGTCAGCCTGGCTTGGGGTAAAGGTTCAGTGTCCCTTGACCTTGCCCTGCAGTTTCTGGATCTCCCGGAAGCTAAGTACCATCAGCCCCACGTTGATGGCATAGGTAGTGATGCAGACGATGCAGAAATCATAGAGCACAAAAAACAGGATCCAGGCCAGGTAGACAGAACCAGCGAGAGACACCAGGGAACTCAGCACTAGCAGGACAGATGCCCAGCGGCTCCGTAGACAACCTGCAAGACAGAAAAGTGTCAGGCATGGGCTTTGGGGTCCAGCCACCTCAAGGACATTGCCACGACTTCCTGGTGCCATCCAGATAACAGGGACAGCTGAGGAAGTTCCTCCCAACAAGACCTTAGTTCTTCTATCTGTTCCATGATCCCTGGAACCCAAATAGTGAATTTTCCTGTTGACTGCCACGTGAGATGAAAGACAAGTAATCCTTAGATTCCTCCCACCTCTGAGTCCCAAAAAATTGGGGTCCTAGGAAGTCTCTGATAGAACCTAAACCTGAACTACTCCTGTTAATTTCTGCTCCCAAGGTGCTTAGTGATGAGCAGCTGCCTGTCAGTTGTCTGGGTCAGCAGCATTGCAAAGGGATGGGCCTGGACTGGCCTGGGGGTCTATTGTGAAGGTGTGGGCCACTCACCTAACAACAACTGTAGTGTGTAGAAGATGCAACCGAATACACTGTTGGATTGATTGAGGACACTGTCCTGGCCCAGCACATGCTCCACAAGCCCAAAGCCACTGCCCCACCTGAGGGAGGAGAGGGTGAGGTTAGGAATGTCAACCCAGTGCCTTGGTCCCTGTCCTGTAGGGGTAATCTGCAAAAAACCACCTGGGCTGTGTTTCCCCTTCTTTTCCTTCCCCACCCCCACCTGAGTCCAAGGGTTGACATCCCAGCACTCCCTTTGGCCACGTCAGGATTCCACCTCACCACCCCCATCCTTCCCTGTCCCAGAGGAGGCCTGGCCATGAGCTCCTCTTTTTCATCCCAGACTTTCAATTACTTTTTTTTTTTAATACTAAGAATAATTTTTAAACATTTATTTATCTGTGCATACAAGAGCTGGGGTACAGACCAGAGGTGTGGGGATAAGAGGATTCACCAGAGACAGAGTGGGGAGCAGAACAGGCAGATCTACTGAAATACACTGCTGAGGGGAGCAGCGGGGAGACAGGAGAGGTCTGTTTTGCCATGTAGGCCACCTCTCTGGCCGGGGAGCCAACTCGTGCTGCAATGGCTGCGGATTGCTTGACAGTGTTGAGACTTAACTCCCTGCGCCACCAGGGAGGCCCCCCTCAATAACTTAAATTGGCAAGGTGGTATAATGGTTGACCTTATTTTACAGTTACCAGAGACTGAAAATTCGGGGTAGAATCTGCCCTGGACTCTTAAATCCTGGCTCCATCTATATATTCGGTCATTCTGCTAACTCCTGGCCCTCAAAGCCGGACTTGGGCACCGTCATCAGTCCCCCTCCAAGCCAATCCACCTCCTCCTCCGGCATGGTCACCGTTATTCCTGGGCATCCCGATCCACATGCTACTCCCCAGAATAACTCCACTCCCAGCACTATTTGCACACATACCACCATCACCCTGCCGCACACGCCCACCTCTGACACCCGATTCGCGTGCAACGCCTCCTCGAGCAGCCCGGCCCCCATGCTCCTCACCCCGGCCACCCCGATCAGAATCATCGGGGAGCCTGACCGCCATTGCAGCGCTCCCGCGAACTGCCCTGTCCCACAAGCCTTCCACGCTCGAGCGCACCTCGAAGAGAAGACGCGCGAACAGCTGATGGCTGTGCCGACGTCGCAGAGCGCGCGGTAATCCCGGTTGCGGGCGCGCTCCGCCTTCACGTGCAGCGCGTAGAGGGAAAGCACTACGCCGGCAAGGCACAGCGCCAGCCGCGCCCAGCCCGGGCTCCGCCAGGTAGAGCCCATGTCTCCGGGTCCCGCTGGGGCACCTACCCGTAGCGAAGCAGCCACGGGGCAGGGGCGGGGCAGTGTATGGTCACGCCCGCCCCCTTCCCCCTGATTGGGCGGTTGGCCTGTCAGCTCTCGTGTTCCCTGATTCAATTGGTTGTTGTGAAGATTTAGTAGGCTGCTGGCGAGGTAGGAAAACAGCGAGGAATGCTGGGACTGGAAAACCACGTTTGGGGGTGTAGGAATTCGCGGACCAGGCGACCTGCGAGGCATGATGGGAGTTGGAGTCTGGTGAGCAGCAGAGCCTCAGGGGAAATGAAGTCTCCGGAGCCAAAAAAAAATCGTGTTTTGCGTAACGTGGAGCGCTTACTCTGTGCCGAGCCTCGTTCTAACCATGGAACATCCAGGACCTAGAGACAGCGGGATCCTGGGATCCAGGTCATGCTGCCGTTCCCCTGAAATGATTATTTCAAATATCGTGAAGACTAACCTCCCATCCTCCCTGGTACTGGACCATTCCTTCCTACCTCCCCAGCACCTCCTGCTGGCCCCTCTTTCTGCCCTTCCCCCTCTTCCTTCCTCTCTCTTATCCTCTCCATTTCTCCTGTAGGCTCAGGGGCTATCCCTGTATCTATGTAGACGCTCTGTAGGCGCTAGTTTGGGCTCCCTCACAGCATGGCAGCTTCCAGGCTACAATAGCAGGTTCCCAAAATTGTTATCCATGACTTCCACCTCCAGGCATTATTGTTATTGTGTTATTGTGTAGTTGCTTCCCACACTCAATAGGGCTGACCTGACCTAATAGGATAGTACAGAATTCACAATGTGTGACTTTCCAGGCTAAGTTCTATTGTAGCTTCCTTCTTGCCCCCCACTTAGATCACATACTCTGTGAACCCCGTTTCCATGTTATGAAGATCCTCAAGCAGCCCTAGAGAGAGGTCCACTTCTTGAGGCATCCTGCTAATAACTAGCATTAATTTGGGCACGACAGTGGGCCACCCTAGAAAGGGATTGTGTAGTACCATTCAAGTTTTCAAATGACTATATTTATTTATTTATGTATTTGTATTTTTTTAAATTAAGGTAACATTGGTTTTCACCTCTGTGTATGATTTAGAGGTATATGTTCACACCTCTTCAGGTATATAGTACTAAACTACAGATGACTGCTATCTCATAAGAGACCTTGAGCCAGAACCACCTAAGTTGCTCCCAGACCTCTGACCCAAAGAAGCTGAGATATTATTGTTTCAAGCTGATGTGTTTTGGGGGTAATTTGTCACACCACAACAGATGGCTAATATAGAGCAATCAAATTGCTTTCATGGCATCTCAGGACCCCAGTACAAGTGCTCCCAGGTGCAAGCCGCATATTCTGTTATGATCTAGCTTCAGAAGTCATAGCATCCCTTCCACTGTAATCACAAACCTGCCGAGTTCTGGGGGAAGGAACACAGGCCTCCACCTCTTCATGAAAGAAATGTCAAAGTCATATGCAAAGTTCTCTGGAAAATACAAACTGCCAGATGGGGCAACATTATTTTCTTCCATGTTTTCTCTTACTACCAAAAGTCACAGCTTCCAAGCTCAGACCTGAGTAGAGATCTTTCTCCTGGGCTCCAAACACCACAGTAGAAACACTTCTGGATGTCTCATAGACCAATCAGATGCAAACATACCTAAAACTGAATCCTATGTTTTCCCTAAACCTATTCCTTCTGTGGAGTTTTCCTTTTTTTATTTTTTGTGTAGGAGAACTGGGATGTAGATCAGAGGTGTGGTGAGAGGATTCACGAGGGACAGAGTTCGGGGAGCAGAACAGGCAAATTTACTGAAATACACTGCTGAGGGGAGCAGTGGGCGAGACAGGAGAGGTCTACTGTGCCATGTGGATTAGCTCCCTGGCCGGGGATCAAATTCAGGCCATAGTGGTGATAACGCTGAGACTTAACCCCGAGGCCCGAGTTAAGGGAGGCCCGAGTTTTCCATTTTAACCAAGACAGCTGCCCTAGACTGTTCTCTCATTCACCATAATCTACGTAGACCGCTACCCTGGTAAGACATCATTACCTCTCACTTTGATAAACACACTTCCTCCTCACTGTTATGCAGTTACAAATGACTAGTCTCTGATAAGAATTAACACATTTTTCTTCCCCCATCTCTTGCAATTTCCCCTTATTTGACAGGTTTACCTTCTTTAGGACCGGTCTCACAGATAAGATTATCAACTTTGTCTTTCCCGTATTTCTTGCAATTTCCTTCTTGTTTGACAGGTCAGTCTTCTTGCGCTCCAAGGAAAGGGAGAGTTAAACAGCGGTTATTGAAAAAAGCAAGCTGGCGCCCACCCGTCTCCATGCCGACCCCTTCCCCCTCCCCTTTGCAGACCCTAGCCCATCTCCCTTTTTTTCCTTTGTGTAAATACCCCTGATTCTGCCAAAGAGCAGGACGGTGGTCTTTCAGATATGAATCTGCTGCCCTCCTCATTTGTCAACAAATTAAACCACTTCCCTTTTCGTCAAACTCTTTCCTTTAATTGGTTGAAGGAAACTGAGGCCGGCGTTTGGTATCAACTGGTCTCCCAGATATACTTGTCCCTCAGTTCTTCATACAGCAACCAAAGTGACTCTTTTTTTTTTTTAAAGGACTCTGACATTTTTTTTTTTTTTAAAGATTTATTCATTATTTATACAAGCACTGTGTACAGTCAGAAGTGCGGGAGGGTGAGAGAATCCACCAGAGCCAGAGCGGGGAGCAGAGCAGGCAGAAGGACCGAAGTACACTGCTGAGGGGAGCAGCGGGCGGCAGGAGAGGTCTGCGCGCCATGTGGGACCCTCCTCCGGTGGCCGGGGAGCAGCCGGGGATCGAACCGGCGCAGCAGAGGCTGCGGGCAGCTTCGCAACCCAGCGCTCAACCGCTGCGCCACCAGGGAGGCCCAACTCTTTAAAAAATAAAAATAGAGGGCCTCCCTGGTGGCGCAGCGGTTGAGCGCTGGGTTGTGAAGCTGCCCGCAGCCTCTGCAGCGCTCCCGGCCACCGGAGGAGGGTCCCACATGGCGCGCAGACCTCTCCTGCCGCCCGCTGCTCCCCTCAGCAGTGTACTTCGGTCCTTCTGCCTGCTCTGCTCCCCGCTCTGGCTCTGGTGAATTCTCTCATCCTCCTGCGCTTCTGACTGTACCCAGGGCTTGTATAAATAAATAAATAAATAAATAAATAAATAAATAAATAAACAAATCTTTAAAAAAAATTAAAAAAAAAATAATAAAAATAGAGTTTTGGCACTCTCTGCCTTTCAATAGCATCCCATTTCAATAGCTCAGAAGATAAAGTTCAACATTTCTTTTGTTTCTTTAACAAATGTTTACTGGGTAACTTTTTTTTTTAAAGATTTATTTTTATTTTTATACAAGAACCAGGATACAGGCCAGATGTGCGGGAGGGTGAGAGGATTCACCAGAGACAGAGCGGGGAACAGAACAGGCAGACCAACGAAATACACTGCTGAGGGGAGCAGCGGACGAGACAGAATAGGTCTGCCCCGTCATGTGGGTATCCCTACTGCTGGTGGTGATCGAACTGGCACTGCAGAGGCTGCAGACAGTTTCACAGCACTGCGCTCAACCGCCTGTGCACCAGGGATACCCTTACTGGGTAACTTTTATGTGCCAGGGATTGTATGAGGGACTTGGGATAAATCAGGAAAGCAGAGAAATATTCACATTCTAGTCTTATATTTTAGAAGAGGAGAAAAAAAGATGAATTAATATAATAAATGTATAGCGGGGGCTCCCTGGTGGTCTAGGGGTTAAGTCTCAGTGCTATCACCACTGTGAACTGAGTTCGATCTCCCGCTAGGGAGCTGACCTAGCGCAGCAGATCTCTCTTGTCTTGCCTCCTGCTCCCCTCAGCAATGTATTTCAGTAGATCTGCCGGTTCTGCTCCCCTACTCTGTCTCTGGTGAATTCTGTCACCCTCCCACACCCCTGGCCTACACCCCAGTTCTTGTATGCATAAATAAATAAAAATGAATCTTTTTTAAAAAAGCCTGACCAACCACCCATTCCATAGGAATGTTCTGGATGAGGACGTGTGGGGTGCATGTCCGACCCGCGCCACCGGGAGGCAGCAGCGAGCTCGGCCGAGGGCCCCTCGGGCGCGGGTCAAATCGGGTGAGGCCCTTTAACCACACTACGCGCCTTTGTGGCAGGCGCAGGCTGGGTTCCCAGCACTGGGTACACTTCGCGACCACGTGAGCGCCGAGTTCTGACGCGCAAACATTGGAGTCCTTTGCTTCTGTGTGCATGCTGGCTTCCCCACCGGAGGAAGCACGTCCCCTCTCCCTTCGCGGGCTCAAGCACTGCCTACCTCCGGAGCTGAGCGACCTTGAGGCCTCATTCCAGGCTACTGGGAACATGTTGGGAAGGAAAGGATGGGAGTGGTGAGGGATTGAGGGACGATGAGGCAATCTAGAGACTCAGGAAATCCTTCCACATGGTCTATGCGAAAGGTCATCCATGGTAAAGGGCCCCATCTCTACTGAAGTTTTTTGTTTTTTTTTTTTAAGATTTATTTATTTATTTATACAAGCACTGGGTACAGTCAGAAGCACGGAAGGGCGAGAGAACTCACCAGAGCCAGAGCGGGGAACAGAACAGGTAGACTGACAAAGTACACTGCTGAGGGGAGCGGCAGGAGAGGTCTGTGCGCCATGTGGGACCCTTGCCGGCGGCCGGGGATCGAACCGGCGCTGCAGAGGCTGCGGGCAACTTCACAACCCAGAGTTCAACCACTGGGCCGCCAGGGAGGCCCTCTACTGAAGTTTAAAGACAGCCTTTGTGCTGCAAGGAGCCTACGTCACTTAACCCTCTTTTATTTAAAAATGTTTAGAGGGGCCTCCCTGGTGGCGCAAGGGGTAAGCACAGCACTGTGAAGCAATCCCTCTGCCTCTGCAGCATGAGTTCCATCTCTAGCCAGGGGGTGACCCACATGACATAGCAGACCTCTCCTGACTTGCCCGTTGCTCCCCTCTGCAGTGGATTTCATCAGTCTGCCTGTTCTGTTTCCCACTCTGTGTCTGGTGAATCCTCTCAACCCCTGCACCTCTGGCCTGTACGCCAGTTCTTGTATGCATAAATAAGTAAATCTCTTTTTTCTAAAGATTTATTTATTTTATACAAGAACTGGGGTACAGGTCAGAAGCCCATGAGGGTGAGAGAATTCACCAGAGCCAGAGCAGGGAGAACAGGCAGACAGACCAAAGACACTTCTGAGGGGAGCAGAGGGCGAGGCAGGAGAGGTCTGCTGCGCCATGTGGGGCTGTCCCTGGCTGGTGGGGAATCGAACTGGTGCTGCAGAAGCTGCAGACAGCTTCGCAGCACGGCACTCAACCGCTGCGCCACTGGGAAGGCCCCAAATAAATCTTAAAAAAAAATAAAAAATAAAATAAAAATATTTAGAGAAGTCCCTCTCCCGGGCCTCCCCGGTGGAGCAGCGGTTGAGCACTGGGTTGGGAAGCTTTCCGTAGCCTCTGCAGTGCTGGTTTGATTCCCTGGTGCTCCCCGGCCACCGGAGGAGGGTCCCACATGGCGCGCAGACCTCTCCTGCCTCCCGCTGCTCCCCTCAGCAGTGTACTTCAGTCCTTCTGCCTGCTCTGCTCCCCGCTCTGGCTCTGGTGAATTCTCTCACCCTCCCGCGGATCTGGCCTATACCCCAGTTCTTGTATAAATAAATAAATAAATCTAAAAAAAGAAAAGTCCCTCTCCCATCATCTCCTGCCTTGAAAAAAGTAATCATATTTCCACTGGCCTCTTGGTCTTTGATCTTACTGACCCCCATTTGCCAATCACTGAGCCAGAGGGTTCTATCTAAGGAGCAGATATCACCTGGTAAAAACCTTCATGGCTCTTCACTACCTCAGGGTAGACTGCAGACTCCTTAACCCTTTACTGTCTGACTTCCATCATTTCATTCATCCCCTCTCTCTCTCTCAGACGCCACATAATTTCAGCCATAACCTCAGACTACCCTGCTGTTCTCTATCCTGCCATGCTCTTCCCAATCCCTCTCCTGCACCTATACCCCTGACCAGTCTCGATGAGATACCCACCTTGCCCTCACACTGCTGATGACAGCAGAACTGTCCATCTTCCTCTTTTTTTTTTAAGATTTGTTTTTATTTATTTGTGCATACAATAACTGGGGTGTAGGCCAGAGGTGTGGGGGGTGGTGGTGAGAGGATTCACCAGAGACAGTGGGAAGCAGAACAGGCAGGTAGACCAAAAACACTGCCGAGGGGAGCAGCGGGCGAGGCTGGAGAGGTCTGCTGTGCCATGTGGGTAGCTCCCTGGCTGGGGATCGAACTCAGGCAGTGGCGGTGATAGCGCTGAGCCTAACCCTAGAGCCACCGGAGAGGTCCCCATTTTCCTCTTTAGAGTAAGGCAGGGTCAATTTATTTAATTCAACAATCAATCCCTTCTCTTGGCACAGCAGTCACCCAGTCAGCACTTGTTACCAGCATGAATGAATCATAATAATCAATGCTTATATAGTGCTAGCACTGTTCTAGGCATTTTACATATACAAATTCAGGTAACCACACAACCCCAAAAGTGATGCATCCTCCTATTACCAATACAGAAATTAAAGCAGGGAGCAATTTAAGTAACTTGTCCCACAGAGTAAGTGGCCGAGCTGGAGTTTGAGCCAGGTATCTTCAACTTCCCATTAATGAATCAAGATAAGAATGAAGGACAGGGCCTCCCTGGTGGTGCAGCGGGTTGAACGCAGCGCAGCACAGCCACGGCAGCGCGGGTTCTATTCCCGGCAGGCCAGGGAGATTCCCACGTGGCGCAGCAGACCTCTCCTGTCGCGCCCACTGCTCCCCTCAGCAGTGCTTTCGGTCTGTCTGCCTGTTCTGCTCCCTACCCTGTCTCTGGTGAATTCTCTCACCCTCCCGCGCCTCTGGCTTGTGCCCCAGCTGTTGTATAAGTGAAAAATAAGGGAACTCCCCTGGTGGCGTAAGGGGTTAAGCACCAGACTATGAAGCAATCTGAAGACTCTGCATCATGAGTTCGATCCCCGGCCGGCCAGGGAGCAACCCACATGGTGAAGAAGACCTCTCCTCTCTTGCCTGCTGCTCCCCTCAGTGGTGTGTTTGTCAGTCTGCCTCTTCTGTTCCCTGCTCTGTCTCTGGTGAATCCTCTCATCCCCCGCATCTCTGGCCTGTGCCCCAGTTCTTGTATGCATAAATAAATAAATCTTTAAAAAAAAAAAGAATCAAGGATAGGTCCTGAGGTAGGGTTTGATCTGTGCATTTTATATCTAAGGGCCTTCTTGTGTTCTCCTGATTTGCTCCCTGGGAGTCTATTTTATAGCGCTGGAGGCAAGAGATCCAAAGGGACCACGGGTAGCTCCTGAAGCCCCGTGGACGGGGCCTTAGTCTTTAATTGGTTGCGCGGGGACAGGGGTACAGCCGCCGGGACGGGCTTGCGCCTGGGCTGCCAGTCCTCCCCTCCGAACTACAACTCCCAGGAGGCACCAGGAGCCCACTAGCCCGCGTGACGTCACCGCGGCAGAGGGCGCAGGCGGCTGGGCTAGCCGGGCCTGTAGACTCTTCGGGCCGTTCCGCTCGGACCCTGGCCCTGGTTCTGGCCCCGCGGTAAGTGGAGCAACGGGCGCCCACTCTGCCTTCGCTGCACACACCCACACTCGGCCATTGTGCTGGGCCAGGAACTGCGCTTGGGACCCAGGGTTGGCATCTACCATATGGGGTGGGGGGGTTCGGGCCGAACCAAGTGACCCAGTGGAGGGGGTACCCAGATGGGACTCCCAGGCCGCGGCTTCCATGCACAGCGGGCCCTCGGGCACACTGCGTTGTAGATCGCTCGTATGCGGGCCAGGGTGGGGTAGCTCTGGATAGGGGTCAGCCCCACCTCCTGAAGGAGGGTGCCTAGGACCCGAGGGAGCTGGGCCGAGACTTCCGTGCTGGACTGGCATCCCCTCTCCAGAGCACCAGATAAAGCCTCGTGCTTAAGAATAGGATCCCTGGAAAGCGAGGTTGTCCAGGCTTGCCCTGTGTGTATTTGCGGAGGTGGTTGAAGGGGTGGACAGAGAGATTGTCCAGGTCTGAGGATACCTGTGCCCACGTGTAGAGATGTGGTGGATGGTGCACTCGGACCCTGAAAGCTCCCTCTTCCCCTGCTCTGGCAGATGGGAGCTGCTCCCTGGGGGCTGAGCTTGTCGGCATCTTCCACTGCCCTGCGCCCCTGAAGTCGGAGAAGAGCCCATCTCTACTTACATCCTTGCCCCTTTTGGGGGTTGCGTCGGTTTGTCCGGTATTCAGCCTTAGCGACCGGTCCATTCCGATAAAGGATCAAGACGATGATACTGGCATCGGTGTTGGGGAGTGGTCCCCGGAGTGGGCATCCACTCCTGCCCCTCCTGGGACCTGCACTCTCGCTCCGGGCCCGCTCCACATCAGCCACCGATACACACCACGTGGAGATGGCACGGGAACGCTCCAAGACCGTCACCTCCTTTTACAACCAGTCAGCCATCGACGTGGCAGCGGAGAAGGTGCACTGCTGGGGGCAGTCAGGCTGGGCCCTGAGCTGGAGTGGGTGTCCAGGAAAGGGGTGGAGCTAATGTGGCGGGGCGGGGTGTTAGAGCTCCAGTGCTCAGAACCTGTCTGCCCCTGCAGCCCTCCGTCCGACTCACTCCCACCATGATGCTCTATTCTGGCCGCTCTCAGGACGGCAGCCACCTTCTGGTAAGAGTCCTGCCGCTTATGTTTTCTTGGACTGTGGAGCTCTGGTCCAGCCACACCCAGACCCCACCCCTGCCTTCCCATCTCTTTTTCGTCTAGAAAAGTGCCCGGTACTTGCAGCAAGAGTTGCCAGTGAGGATTGCTCACCGCATCAAGGGCTTCCGCAGCCTTCCTTTCATCATTGGCTGTAACCCTACCATACTGCACGTGGTAAGGTGGCCTCGAGGGATATGGGTTTCCCTAGTAAAGAGGACCTTACATAAATGTGTCCACCACTGCTCATAGGTCAGATGAGGTGGGGGACCAGAATTGCAGAGACGCCTGCCAAGCAGTTTTAGGACCATAGATGACTCAGACCTGAGCCTTCAGCTACCAAGGCAGCAAATTCACAAGGCTTGAAAGGCCATGAATTGGGGTGGGTGGCTGTTGTCTACCCAGTGCCCCAGCCTCCCTATGAATTCCCAAACCTCTTCTTTGCAGCATGAACTGTACATCCGTGCCTTCCAGAAGCTGACAGACTTTCCTCCGGTGAGGCCTGGGTGAGGGCTGGGTGAGGGCACAGGGTAAGGGTGGGACCATCCATACTTATGATTCTGTGGCCTGCAGATCAAGGACCAGGCAGACGAAGCCCAATACTGCCAGCTGGTGCGACAGCTGCTGGATGACCACAAGGATGTGGTGACCCTCTTAGCTGAGGGCCTTCGTGAGAGCCGGAAACACATAGAGGTCAGGGGCAGCACCGTGGGGGCCCAGGCCTGCTGGGAAGCCTGGCAAGGGCACAGGGTTTCTGAGGCCCCACAATTTACAGGATGAGAAGCTCGTCCGCTTCTTCCTGGACAAGACACTGACTTCCCGGCTTGGGATCCGCATGTTGGCCACGCATCATCTGGCACTGCATGAGGACAAGGTAGGCACTGGGACCTGAGACCTATCCGAGAATGTCAAGGGGGTAGAGGGAACTGACCTTGGGGAGGGCCCCTGGGTGGAGAACTGGAGGGAAGCCTGGGACTGCTTCAGCAGAGCAGAGGTCATCAGAAGTTGGTGGCTGAGATGTGGGTGGAGGTTCTGTCTAGTTCTGACCCTCTTTCTCCTGCCAGCCCGATTTTGTTGGTATCATCTGCACTCGTCTCTCACCAAAGAAGATTATTGAAAAGTGGGTGGACTTTGCCAGGTGAGGCTAGAATGGCTAAGGATGTGGATGATGTCCGGAGGGAGGGCTGAGGTCTGAGCTCGGACCCAGAGCGGTCTGGGGCAGGGTTTCTCACCTTTGGCACTGTCAACCTTTTGGGTCAGATAATTCTTTTTTGTGCGGGGCTGTCCTGTGCATTGTGGGATGTGTAGAAGAAACCCTGGCCTCCACTCATTTGATGCCAATAGTACTCCCTAGTTGTGACAAGCAATGAGTCCTCTAGAAATTTCACTCTTTCAGGGGGAAGCAGAATTATCTCCAGTGGAGAACCACTGGTGCTCTAGGTCTGAACCCTTGCTCTTGCTCGTCTCCACAGACGCCTGTGTGAGCACAAGTACGGCAACGCCCCCCGTGTCCGCATCAATGGACATGTGGCCGCCCGTTTCCCCTTCATCCCCATGCCGCTGGACTACATCCTGCCGGAACTGCTCAAGAATGCCATGAGGTAGGCTGGCTGGATAGGTTTCAGAGGGGCAGACGGGAACTGGGGTGAGGCTGGGGTGCCACCACCTATTGGTCTTTCTCCCCTGCATAGAGCCACGATGGAGAGTCACCTGGACACTCCCTACAATGTCCCAGATGTGGTCATCACCATCGCCAACAATGATATCGATCTTGTCATCAGGTCTGCCCTGCATAAAAGTGGGTTGGGGTGACAGGGGCTTCTGGGCACTGTTTCTGACTTAAAGGATAACCTCGAGCCAGGACCCGCTCCATGCTGAGACTTGGTCAGACAAGATACTTTGTGGTCTTGAGGTTGCTATGAGCTGGATATGAATGTATCTGGAACCAGCTACAGGACCTGGGGCCCTGAGCAGCCTGAATGGGGGGAGAATCAGGAGAAACCAGTCTGATGCTAGGCTAAGAATAAATGTCATTCTATGAGAAGGTGTAAATAGTCAGGGGCCCAGGCAGAGGTGAGGATGGGGAAATGGAGCTTATAGAAAACAAGGTCCAAGGGTCAAGGTGGACCACATTCTACCTTGGGGGGAAGAGACAGGAAGGCAGACTTAGTACTCTTTGGGAGGTAGTGTGCTCCTCTCAAGCTCATGTTATTGCCGTCCTGCCAGGATTTCAGACCGGGGCGGGGGAATCGCTCACACAGACCTGGATCGGGTTATGGACTACCACTTCACTACAGCGGAGGCCAGCACCCAGGACCCACGGATCAGCCCCCTCTTTGGTCACCTGGACATGCACAGTGGTGCCCAGTCAGGACCCATGCACGGGTAAGTCCTTATCTCACAGGGTGGAGGGGTAGGGGGCACCAGGAGACCCAAGCCTCTAAAGCACCTGTTGTGTTCCCCCATCCACCCTCAGGTTTGGCTTTGGGCTTCCCACATCACGGGCCTATGCGGAGTATCTTGGTGGTTCCCTTCGGCTACAGTCTCTGCAGGGCATTGGCACGGATGTCTACCTACGGCTCCGTCACATCGATGGCCGGGAGGAAAGCTTCCGCATCTGACTCCATGGTCCTTGGCCCGCTTGCCAGCCCAGCCTGGGCCACACACCCTGCCAGAACCTTGTGGGCCAGGCGGGGTGCTCCCTGCTCCACACGCTGCTGCATCTTGGGTCTTAGGGCCCCAAACAGATGGACTTAGATGGAGCCAGGTGCCACTCCTTCTCTACAGGGTCCACTGCTTCCTTGTCTCCAGGCCTTGGAGGAGGAGAGAAAGTGGGGATTCTGCAGGCCTCCAGTACCAGCTCCATCATTCTAGATCCTGGGGAATCCCAACTTTGACCTGCTGTTTGTTATTAAAGTTCACGTTTTGAATGCCCTCTTGGGCCCCTTGTGTAGGGAGGGCAGGTGAGCTTTTGTTTCTGTCCCATTCAGGTTCTCTGGCACCTTGCGTGTCACTATTCGTGTTTCTGTCTGTAGCTGTTCTGACAGCCGGGCAGCCTGGGAGTAAAACTGGCCCTAAGTCACTTGCACAATTGATTTGAAAGGAACAGGGGTGTCTCTGGTGGTTTTTGCAAAGACCATTTAATTTAACAAATGTTTCTGACTCCCAAACAATATTGGAAGGTGCAGGTTGGCCCAGCTTCAGGCCTTAGTTCTGACTCTTCCCTTCCTGGCAGTCTTAGATTCTGGAGGTGAAGGTCACCAGACTGGGCAACCTCCTGAGCCACCTGATTCCTGAGCCTGAGTCAAGTTAAAAATACTGCTCGCCAGCTGTGTACCTGCTGCTGCCAAGGAAAGGAACACAAGATTGTGCCCTGGCAGGCCTCAGCAAGGACTGCGTGTTCCACCATAGAGAGGAGTAGGGTTCTGCTAGGGACTTGGGCAAAAGGAAAGAACAGGCGCCCATCTTGCCAGGGAAGAGGAAAAACCCAAGGGCTTGATAGTAGAAGTGGGAGGAGATTGATGGGAAATGGGAATTGTATCTGGAGGTTGAATGGTAGGAGGTGGGAAAGCCACAGTAACTTGTCAGGCTGAGGGGTGAGGCTGGAGAGGTCAGAGGCAGTCAGGGTGAAGGGCATTGAATGTGCAGCCGTGAAGTATGGGCTTTATCCTGGAGGCATGGATAGGTTTTAAGCTAGGAAGGAATGTTTTAGGTTAGATTCCCTAGAAGCAGATACTGAGAGGAAGATACAAATAGAAGGGATTTGTTGAAAAAATACCCCAGAAGGGAGCGGTGGAAGCAGGAAAGGGAAGGGCAGGTCGGGCAAGGATGTGATCTTGGGCAGAAATCCAGAAAAGTCAGAGCTGGAATCAAGAGAGCTAAGCTCCAGTTATTGATGAAGTCCTGCACCTGACCATCACTGGTTAAGTTAGGAGGTGGGGGTGGGGAAGTACCAAACTCCCAGATTGAAAACCTGTCTTCAGCTCTTTGAAGCAAAAGAGCTCTGAGAGGCAATTTGCCAAAGAACCACCTTTGGTACTGACCTTTGAAAGCACATCAAAAGTAATCTGGGCAGGGGTCTGGGTGCAGCATTACATAGTTCTAAGAGGAACTAGTGATTTGCACATTAGAAGATTGGTGGCCAGTAGACCGGAGAATAGTGAGGATAGTGTAGTGACCCTGATCAGGGATTTATAAAGCCCAGCTTAATCCTAAACTAGAAAGGACAGCATCTATCTAAGATGTTGGGTGAGGTCAGAAGTGAGACACCACAAACTTGTGGGTAGAATATTAACCTTGAAAATGTGGGAGATGGGGTTGGAGAGTGGGAGCAGGCATTACAATTTTAATTTTTTTGGCTTGACTTTTATTTCTTCTGTTTGTAAAGCTTCCAGGCACTTGGCATTCACTGTACCCTACCCCATTATTTTAATTTTTATTTATTTTTGCATAGAGGAACTGGGGTATAGGTCAGAGATGCAGGGAGTGAAAGGACTCCTCAGAGACAAAGTGGGGAGCAGAGCGGGTGGATTTACCGAAATACAACTACTAAGGGGAGCAGCAGGCGAGACAGGAGAGGTCTGCTGTGCAATATGTGGGTCACCTCCCTGGCAGGGGATCGAACTCAGGCCATTGTGGTGGTAGCACTGAGACTTAAAACTCTAGGCGCTAGGGAGGCCCTGGATTCTACTTTTTTTTTTTAAAGATTGATTTATTTATGCATACAAGAGCCGGGATACAGGCCAGAGATACGTGAGGTGAGAGGATTCACCAGAGACAGACTGGGGAACAGAAAAGGCAGACTGAAATACACTGCTGAGGGGAGCAGTGGGCAAGACAGGATAGGTCTGCTGCACCATGTGGGTAGCTCTCTGGCTGGCTGGGATCAAACATTAGAAGATTGGTGGCCAGTAGACTGGAGAATACTGCGAATTGCTTCATAGCGTCTGCTTAACCCTTTGCGCCACCAGGGAGGCCCTGGATTCTATTTTTTGATTGGTAACCTGGGTCCCATCCTCAGGCCTTGAGCATTCCACCCCGCTTGCTTTCAAGCCCAATAATCAAACAAGTTAAATAAGATTCAGAGTGGCCAAAGGGGATGTTTATTGAACATCTTGCTATACACTTGTTTCATCTATGCAAAGGGGGTAGATATATGCATTAACTTTTATCTAGTCACACTGGTTATACAGTTTTATGGCGTAACCTTGATCTACGTTCTGAGAATGAATTCATTGGTACAACTTACCCGGAGTAGGGTCAGAAATCCAAAACTTCTCACTCACTAAGACGCTCTCTATCAAGTCCATTGCCTTCTGTCCAGAGGACATCTAGTTTCTTTCTATAGAAAGGCTTGACTGGGTGAGAGGATTTATTGGCTATCCCTGACCACACCTGTCCTTCTATCCCAACTGCTTCCGTTCCCCACCCTGAACAAGCAGAAGACAAGCTTCCTCAATCTTAAAGGAGTAAGGGTATCAGCCTGGCGGAAGTGCGCGGCGCGGGGGAGGGTAATTTCAGGGTCACAAACCTAAAGCCAGCCTGGCAGCCGGGGAAGCTACTCTAGCTCCCTCGAATTAAAGTGGGGGCGTCTTTCTCGAGCACGCGGGCCTTTTTTAAAAAATAGAGCTGAGGGCCTCCCCGGTGGCGCAGCGGTTGAGCGCTGGCTTGCGAAGCTGCCCGCAGCCTCTGTGGCGCCGGTTCGATCCCCGGCTGCTCCCCGGCCACCGGAGGAGGGTCCCACATGGCGCGCAAACCTCTCCTGCCGCCCGCTGCTCCCCTCAGCAGTGTACTTCGGTCCTTCTGCCTGCTCTGCTCCCCGCTCTGGCTCTGGTGAATTCTCTCACCCTCCCGCGCTTCTGACTGTACCCAGTGCTTGTATAAATAAATAAATCTTTTTAAAAATAAAAATAAATTAAAAAATAGAGCTGAGTCATCACGTCAGCAGGCTCTTTCTCCTCTCTCCAACCCTAGGATGCAGCCATGCTTCCATACGGGAAAAAAACACTCCAGGTCAGCTGCACAGTAGACACCCGCTAGTCCCGGCGTCGCGAAGACGGCGGTCCTAACCAATGAACAAGTACTACGTCACAGAGCCCGCCCCCAGCCCGCCCCCTCCGCCGCGCAGGGCTGACCCGGAGCTAAAAGCGCTGCGCGGCGCCTGATTCTGGCGTCACTTCCACTACAGCAATGGCGGCACAGGGGGCTGCGGCGGCGGTTGCGGCGGCGGCTTCAGGGGTCGCGGGGGAGAGCGAGCCTGGGCCCGGGGAGAATGCAGCGGTCGAGGGGACGGCCCCATCCCCGGGCCGCGTCTCTCCTCCAACCCCGGCGCGCGGCGAACCGGAAGTCACCGTGGAGATCGGAGAAACGTACCTGTGTCGACGACCGGATAGCACCTGGCGTGAGGGCGGGGCCCAGGGGCGGGGTTCAAGGGGCGGGGCGGGGTCTGGGAACGGGATCTCGGAGGGGCTGGGCATAGTCGGGGCGGTGCTTGAGGAAAGAGAACGCGGAGTTTAGGACTCTCCGGGGCGCCGCCTAGAAACCCCACGAGTGAGGCAGCTCCAAATTCATCTTAGCGCTTATAGACCTCCCATTCCACTTGTTTGCCCAACCTATGGCTCATTCCCTTGGTTGGCCCTGCGTCCGCATAGATCTCTGCCATAGATCTCTGTCCGCGTTGTCTCTGCCACTCCCCCTTGCGTCCTTCCCTTACAGTCGCCAGCAGAGACCTTCCTGAACACACAAAAAGTGAGCTTCTCTGCCCTTCCCTTGTCTTTCCTCATCTTCAAAATGGAATGGAGTGCATCTTTATGATCTCTCTGGCTTCTGGGCACCCTAGCAAAGGTCATTCCAGACCACGCTACACTCTGAAGGCCATATGCATCTTACTATCTGTGCCCTCTGCTTGGAATGTCTTTCCCTTTGTCCTTGTTAACCTGACCAGCTCCTACTCATCCTTTTAACATCATATTCCCTGTGATGCCATTCTCGACTCCCTTCAGGCAAAATGAGTAGTTCCCTTATGTATGTTCCTGCAACATTTTCTTCATACCTAGCCGTGGTATATGTAACATTATGTTGTAATTGTGTCTTCCCCCATCTAAGTGGGAACTTCTGGAGGGCAGGATGGCGTGTGACTCATTGCCGTGCCCTCTGTACCCAGCAACAACACAGCATACCTTAAGACTTGGCATTACTCATTTATTGAATGGTCTGCTAGTTGTCAGGCGCTACACTAAAAGCTTTAGAGGCGTTAGCTCACCTTCTGAGATGGGCACTATTATCCTTGTTTTATAGATGAAGAAACTGAGTCTCAGAAAGCCCAAATAACTTGCTCAATTAAGTACAGATAGGAAGGGGGAGCTCAGATCATACACACTCGGGTTGTCTGAATCCAGAATCAACCCTCACTAGCCCTGAACAGATGAATGACTGAGTATAGTAACACCACAGATCTGGGACCAGACTTAAACTCAGTTTAAGTTTCAGCTCTTATCACTTCAAATCTGTGAGCCTGGGTAAGCCTCACTTTTCTCCTGTAAAATAAATATAACAGCCCCTATTTGGTCCACTGTACAGTGGTGAAATGAAATGGCATATGTGGACAGGTGAGGTTAGCTTTCATTTGGTCCGGTAATCTGGAAATTGCCCCCCAGTGTGAAGGAACCCTCTTGTGCCAGCATCCTTCTAGATGATCTTAGCCTTTTTCCTTTACAGATTCTGCTGAAGTGATCCAGTCTCGAGTAAATGATCAGGAGGGCCGAGAGGAATTCTATGTACATTATGTGGGCTGTGAGTCACTTGGCATATCCAGGCCTGGGTGAGGGGAGGGAGTGGAAGGGCAACACCCTCATGGTGGTCCATCCTTACAGTTAATCGGCGGCTGGATGAATGGGTAGACAAAAACCGACTGGCGCTGACCAAGACAGTGAAGGATGCTGTGCAGAAGAACTCAGAGAAGTACCTGA